GAGTTCAAGACGGACTGAAATAATTCTCAAACTCATATTTCTAAACATTACTTCACCGAGTATAGCGTAATCGCAGCCAGGTTTGAAATAAGCACAAACATTACCTATCTAAGTCATTGATTGATCCACTGGTTATCAAAGGGTTTGAAAATTTTGAATTTCAGGTGTCTTTATAAACAAGTTGTGTTAGTTAAACTATGTTAATTACTTGAGCTTAACAAGAAGAAGATTATCTCCTCACTTCTGTATATTTAGACTTCATATACATCTTTTAAAAAAAGGTATTATTAGGAGTTAAATCACAGAAAATAGTCTCCTCATTTTCATGACATTTAATTACTCAGTAGACTGCATGAATTATGGTCCCAAAGAAAAATTAAAGTTGACTCATTTATCCATGTATCTCATCGCTCAATAATTTCATAATATTTCTCAATTCTGATTGGCCCATATTTTCATCATTATTCTATTGATCAATTTTCGATTTTTTTTTTAAATGTATAATTTTGTATGACCGAAAATGTCGATTAAGTCATAAAGAAAACAAATACTTTTTTTGTGAAAGAAGTTGCCTTCAGAAGCTGTATATTTACACCTGCTGAAACACATAACTCTATCTACTGTTGATTAATAAGAGGGATTGTTATACATTTTGGTAAATCTTTGAAGATGACTTTGTTTGTCCATAAGGTAAAAATATCCTCCGCCCAACTATCTTTTGTCCGATTCTGTATGGCTTATTTATTATGTGAACGGGTTATAATTTTCCAGCCAGGAATGGAAAAAAAAATATGTAGTGGCAGTAGTAAAAGCTTTGGAAATCAGTAAAGTTAATTAATATCTTTCAGATAACGGAAAGTCTACCGACATCTTTTGAAACTTCTGATCATTTTGTAGCAGTAACACTAGGACAGCTAATATCTTTCTGCTAAATGCTATTCTGAAACTTATAAATAAAACAGAAAGGCTTAAATTCCTATCCAGTAGAAGGGGACTTTTGTTTTTAGTCCAGTTACTTCAAAGGAAAAAGATATTAATAATGGTATAAGTAGTTTACATTTGAATGAAAGTAAAAAATCCTCGAAGATCTGGACTCCGAGGTTGATTTGTGTCTCGAATCGTGCAAACTCGACGATTTACCCGTGAAAACCAATAAGATGTCAGAAAACATGGAGAAGACAGGAGTGATGAAGATACTCAGCCAACAACAAGCACTGATCACCATCAACGGTAGGAATATAAGAGTCGTCTCTTTCACTCGCCTGACATAAGCAGCATGGACTAGAAAATCAAAGCTAGCCAGGTTCAGAGAAAGAAGACAGTATAGTTTATTATTCTGAAATCCGTATGGGGATCCATAGCAATCAACATAAGGACAAAGATCAGTATTTTTGACACTAATGTCATATGAGTGCTTCTTGGTGCATCACCAAGAGCATTTCCAACAAGCTGAAGACTTCTGCCGATAGATACCCTCTCTTCATACTGAAGATCGGATGGCCGAACGGAAAGGGAAAGCAACAACGAAATCCGACAGTGCAGCGAATTGACCAAGGAATTAGTGCCCAACAAACATGCAGGAGTGGACATAAGCTGAAGAGACACTTAAGTTACATCACAGGCCAAGCCCATCAGTGGAATCCGAGGGTGATGTGGAGATTATTCGACGAAGAAACAATAGCTTGAAGGCGAATGTGAAACCGGTTAAAAAGACAGCGGAGAACAGAATACAATGAAGATGCGCTGCTGAAGTCCTAGGTTCCACAAGAAATGCAAAGGACGAATAACAATAATCATCACATTCTTAGCTCTGAAATAAACTCTATCTATTAGGTAAACAATGTGGCCACCAAGCCAAGGGGTGTCATGTTGTGAGTTAGCTACCACAAAACTTCTCTTCTCCTTCTTAGTTCTGAGGCCATGGTGGTCCATGAAACATTTGTTTTACGAATAACTTTTCTGTTTTTTTGGAAACGAGGAGTACAACAGACTTCCACATCAACTAACACTAGTTTTTTAATGCTGTTTAGCCCAGTAGTCAAATTTCAGTTTTGTAATCGATAAAATTTATGTACCACTTGGAATTGGACAGCTATTTTAGTAGACATTCATGGATTATTTCTAATGCATAAGCCAACGGGGTCCTATTTAATAAAACATGATGCGTAAACGGATGTAGAAAGCTCGACCTGGTAAACCTCACACTCACAGAAGACAACAAGGCCATCAGAATCAAAATTGCAAATGTTTAGCATCATACTACACTCAATATCCAGTGACCATCTTATTCATGCATAATCTAGTCATACAATTGTGATCTGAGTAGCTTAATCAGTGATAAAGTCCCAGGATTCAGTGATGTGAGTTCGAATCTCGAAAAAGAACATGACTTTTGATGAGTTGATGAATTCCAACAGAACAACTTGTCAGTATCATCTTAGCACTAAACAAACACCATTGTCCTCTTGGATAAATTATTTCAATGACTAAACTAAACGCTTAACATATGGGTGTATCAGTGTTCACTGCGAGCGAGAGAGAGAGAGAGACAGCTAGAACTATGACCGTTGACCAATTCACAAGCTTCACTCATATCTAACAAAATGTTTCTTCTTGTTTCATAGCTATTCTTGCATTTTAACTGTCCACTGTGTTTTCTCCTTCTGTTGTCTTTTTCGCCTCACTTTTTCAAAATTTTCCTGTAAATTATGTATATTTTCAGAAATACAATGAAGTGAAGAAATTTTTTCATATGTGTTTAGTAGTTAATGGTAAGTCAGTTTGGTTTATCGAACCTATAAATAGAAAATCTATTTTTTTTCCATATTTAATCATTCCTACCATTGTTATTATTATTAGTAGTAGAAGTATAATGTGACGACATTTTAAGAAAACTGATGATATTGACTTTGCGTAAATTTCAGATTTTTAAGATATATATAATATATAAGCTGGCAAATGAGAAATTTAGCATTGGGAATTTATAATATTTGACATTGGGGTAGTGAACACATGGCATGCATATTTCATCACAGTCGTCTTCTGTTCAAAAGTCTTTTCTACCAATTATGCATTATTACATATGAAAAACAAGTGAAATGTGCAGCTGGTTTTAGGCGGTTTAAGTTCAACAGGTGACTACAAAACTGCATATCACTGAATTCGTGTCATCCTTCGTCTTGTTACAATGCTTGGCCTCAACGGCCCGAGTTTGAAACTGCACAGTGTGTAAGGGTCCTAAGCTATCTAGTAATCTTTGGTTTTCAGTAATTGCTGTCAATGAAATTAAATCAATCTGCCTTCGTTTGTAAAACGAAATATTATATAGGTTGCTGATAAGTGCTTTTAAGTGTAAAGACTGAACTGCTGGTCACTTTATGACTGGATGTATTATTATTCACTGCCTCGATATTTCTTATATATAGATATATATCTCTGTTTTCTGTGTAAAACTGATAGATTAAGGAGATATACGCCTTTGAGCATTCATTTAAGGCCTCTGTTATCAGTTGCTTATTTTCCATAAACAACACAAATAAGACATAACTATCAGACTTCTGCATCGGTGGCATAGCGGTTAGGACGCTCACCGACCATGCACATGATCAGGGGTTCGATCCCCGGCCGACGCACTCCTTCACCTCGCTAAGCCAGAAATAATGCTGGTGAAGAGGAAAGGTTGGGCATGAGGCTAGCAATCCCGTCCTGTAAAATAAACACTACTACAGAAACTTAAAGCCACTAACTTGAAGTTCTATGTTCCACTGGGGAACGTGAAGGGAAAAAAATCAGACTTCTAATAACTCAGTTAAAAGGGAACTCTCTTAGTGAAGCATCATCACACGAGGGGAGTACTTTTAAAGCAGACACTGTTATGATCAACAAACTATCAACACACGATGTCACCTGAACACGTATATACATTGTAAAGTGAGGCTTCTTTTTGTTATCGAACTAATCTATCATTCATCATCACAGTCTTCATCCAAAAAGTAGAGAAATCTCTTTGTATTAATTGTAGAGGGGAACCCACCCCCCTTACAAGCATCGTTTCTCAAATAGAGTACTTTTATACAAGAATTACCCTTTATAAATTTGTGCAGAGAAAGAACAAACATTGGTGCAGAATAACATGGATCCATTTCATATTTTGTTAGTTCTCATCAGCCGCATACAACCTATAATCTTTGATGAATAAAAGTCAGTGTGAAATTTAACATACTTTTGTCTATCAATAGGCATATTATACTGGGTGTCATGGTGAGGTGAAACATCAGGATGACAAGGTACATGAAGTGTAATTATATTTATATATCTTGTTAGAGAGAAGTTTCTCGAAAATTAATTGACAAGTTTGGTGTTAACAAAAATTAGTAACAGTTACGCAGTTAGATAAGAGAAGATCAAAATTTGGTGTGCAAGAGGTCAGATGAAAAGATGATGATGTAATATGGTGAGTAGAACTCATAAGGTCAAGAAGGATTATCTCCTTTGGATGTCAAACAGAAAAAAAAACGAGTGATGGTGGGAGACGTTGAAAAGATAAGTTAATAAAATTAGAAAACAAAGAGCTATTACGGGATGCTTTACCAGGGTAATTGGAGTTCAACGGCAGATTCCTTTTAGACGCGTAGATCACGTTTCAGCCGTTTTTTTGCGATAGCTTCAGCAAACCCAAGAAAACTTGGGCTTTTTTATCCGTTAATTGTTTTGGATGATGCCAGCGCGTGTACTCGGTGTCCAGTGTCTATCAGATGTTCGGCAATTGAAGAGCTTAAACTGCTTGGCACCTTTAACCTAATATTTCATCTCACCATGACACCCCTATAATATGGTTATTAGTAGACAAAAGTATGTTAAATTTTACGCTGACTTTAATTCATTAAAGATTATAGGTTGTATGCGAAAGGAGATCCATGTTATTCCGCACCAATGTTTTTTCTTTCTTTCTCTGTTCAAAAAGTATTTCCCAGTATTTCACTCAACATCTAACGGCATTATAGGAACAAGGAAACAAACACATTTATTATCATAATCATTACGAAGGCAAAACAAAGGAAGTCGAACAAATTGTTTTTTGTGCGTGAAATATTCACATTTGTTTATTTTTATATAGAACCCAAATTCTGAAAGAAGAAAAAAAAGATCGATTGGATTTATGGACTGTATGGATTGAATGAATGAACGAATGTTTTAATAAATCAGTAAACCGATGATGACATTGACAAGGAATGATGACGCTGATAAGAAGAGATAAGGGAACAAAGAGTGTAATACAACCTATGCTTATATATATCTCACGACAACTGTGTGTGTGTGTGTGTAGTGTAGTGTAGAGAATCAAAAAGGCAATGGACTAAAGTGAGATGCAAAATAAACAATAACATTAGTAGTAGTAGTGACTGAAAGTGATGTATATCATCAACCTACACACCTGTATTTACTCAACAGTTCTTTCGCAAGACGTCGCTGAAACTCCTCTGGTTACTTTTGCACGAGAGAGTAGTGAACACACACGCACACACACACATGTGCATGCATATAAACACACTCTGACATATACATAGAGACAGAGTAATTAATTAGACAAGTATACGAAAGAGAGGAATAATGATGGTGAAGATGATGAGTGAATGAAAAGTAATCAGGTAGTTATTGAAGAAGAAGATGATGATGATGAATAGTCTCTAAGGGGCAAGCAAAAACAATAACAAATATAAAATGAGGCTATTCAGTACAGACTCCTTTTCTTTAGCATTTTTTTCACATATGAAACTATCATTTTTCTTGCCCAGTTGGGATAATCATTTTTGCATATTCTAGTATTTATTTATACCTCAGTCAAGCAAAATTTGTTAATCATTAGACAGGAACAATAGAGACAATAGAGAACTCCACATCAGTTCGTTAGGCAATCTACCCATGAAGAGATGGTGAGAAGAGTAAAGCAAGTAGGAAAGAAAAATTTAATGGAAGAATGGAGACAACGCTTTATGTCTCAACTAAAATGAAAGAATAAAACAGGGAAGTAAAGAGGAGCAGGAGGAGGGGGGAACCCATTTCTGTCATTATAATAAACAGTAATCAGTGATGGCAACGAATAGAAAGAACAAAGAAGCATATTCCTCGAAATATCTGCATCTCTGGTTAATTAGACAATGAACAGTAAGATAACATTTATGTGGTTTAATAAGCAAATACGCACATGTCTGGAGAGTTTTCATTTCACATTTTGTCATTCCATTTCATTTAGACATTAATTAAACACATCATCACAGTATGATTAGAAATAAAAAGGCAATTCAAATTTCAAAACGGTGAAAACTAAGAAAAACAATGTGAAATTGTGTTCATGTGCATGTGTACTTGTGTCTCGGTTTGAATATGTTGACTGAATCACTTGACATGTATCATATTGTTAACTTTTAAGATAAAATGATCGTGAGCAGGTTGTAATGAATTAAGCTGACGAGAGTGAAGAAGGAAATCGAAGTTGTAGCTCCTGCAATTGTTGCGTACACACACGAACACAAAAACACATTCAAAATTTAACTTGAAACAGTTGTCAACTGGCAGTATCTTTGTGTATCTACGTATGTATTTATGTGTGAGTGTCTGGTGAAGATTTAGAGACAATGAAAGAAACTGGTTAACTTCTCTTTTTTTCGACAGCATCATCTCACTCTCTTCTCTTAGACAGCACGCCAATTTTTTAACACATGACGAAATGAATGAGTTATCCACTGGTTTTCCAGAAGTGAAAATCGTTCAGCATTTAAAAACAGCGGTTTACCACGTCTGTAATACAAGGGATAGACAAAAGAGTACAAACAAATAATATTTAATGAGTGCATTTTGAAATGTTGTAACCCAAAAACTTCATCTAGATGTTTATTCACTAAGCTGAGAATTATACCTAAACACTGGTGTCTGTACAAAAATTTTTAACTTGTGACTCAAAATTTGCACACTTCTGATAAATTTATCAACATCCGTTGACAGTTATCTACGACCGTGTTGCAACTGACTGAAGAACTCCAACTAGGATTGTTACCTTGATGTGATGATTGAGCTTACACAAAACAGTGATATGGCAAGTTATGCTGGGACAAATTTTCCTACAAGACAGAAGGTCAGTTATTCACTGTAAGATTAGGTCTGAGGAGATTTACATGTATTATTATAATATTATCCTCTTAGTTTGCGATTAGTTCGTACAGCTTCAACAGCACATCTCCATTTCATCCTACTTTCTGCAGCCATCTTTAGCTGGCCCCACGATCACCCATAGACAATCATCTCCTCCTCCAGGTCACCCTCAGACGCCTGACTCATCGTTCCTCATTCAAAGGCCTTATGCACGATGTCACTCAGCGGTCCGGTCTGTCTTCATTTTCTTCGACATATTTGTTGGTCAATAGGTTCTTGGTTAGTTCGTTGCAAGAGTTACTCATTCTTTCTGGCCATTTGATTTTCAGCATAGGATGAAAGCAGCTGCAGCCTGCTGTAAATGTTTCTCCTGACGCGCCAAGTCTCTGACTCGAAATTAATTAACGTTGAAAATCCGAGTGATTGACTGTTTGCCTGAGAAATATAAGCAGGTATGGATTCCATAATGGATAAGTTTTTGATATAACACAGTGAAACACCACACTCGGTTGAATGATTTTCTCAGTATAATTTATTGCTCATAATCATATCAAGGTATTTACACAACTTTCTAACTTGTTTTAAACAGCCCATTTATTCAGAAATATCGCGCTATTCCTATTACACACAAATATTGGGTGTTGATTTGAAGAACAAGGGTTCAGTGACTAAATTAAACCTAACTAATAATTACTTCTGAATAATTTTTCCTCCCTAATCCTGCTGTTTGATATGATTGTTTATAAGTGAATGCATAACAATGATTAGGTATTTTTCTAGGATACTTATTAAGGTATATGTTATTTTAGATACTATGACTGGTGAACAAATTTAACGTATGTATTTGACCTCGTAAACATTACACGGCATTTGATAAATTGCCAGACTGAGATCGTCACGGTGCTTGGTGGCTAAAGTTCTGGGATATGACTCAAAATTGTTTACGATGGCATAGCTATATTCCATATTTTGTCATCTTTCAGATTTTAATTATATTCACTTATCTTCATTGAATCATTATTCCCTTTCCTGTATATCTCTATACATATTGTACTTCGATTACGTTGTTTTTCTCTACTTGTTTGCATATGTGCTTTTTTGAACTTTGACACGCTAGGCTTATATGCAATTCTCTACTAACTTCTACGTTGTTAAGGTCAGTCAGTCATTTTTTTTGTCACCTATTATTGAGTAAATACATTAGAATGAAATTCGGTGTAAAACAGATACAATATTGAATAGGACCACATCCACTAGACTAGTTCGAACATCTTGATTAGTTGGGAACAAAACTCATACAACACCCATGACTATTCACTGGTCAAAAGTGGAGTATTTGAGACACACACTAAGCAGTGTTTGTTCTTTTTTTATTTGGTGTGTCTCAGTAGCATATTTATCACTTCTGCCCTGTGACACGGCAGCAGGAAGCGCGGTCGTTGTTAATCCGGGCCCCGACCGATCCGGCATGATATTTTGTGATTCTGTTTGAGTCATAGCATTGGATTGGGTAGCTGCTTTTAGCCTAACCGCTATCCAAACAACCTTTCTGCCATGGTAGGACCTACAGGAACATAAGTTCCAGCCAATGTAGCTCGTTGGGTCATTACGATATGCAAGCCCGACCACCACGTCAAGGCAGCAGCTTTCGGTCGATTCTCTTCACTCATTTTCTTGTCTACCTTTATGTGCTCTTTGGAACGTGGCAACTCGAACTGCTGCACTTCGGTGCCAAGTTCTATGTTGAATCCAGCCAGCCAGCACTAAGCAGTCGATCTGCTAATTAATTTAGCTGTATTTCTAATTTGTGTATAAAATGTAATGAAACTGTTGATCATATCGGTTACCGAGTATTCACTCTACATACACGTATGTTTTACAAAACAAAAAGAAGAGTTTTTCTCATTTCCATGTTAAATTTTACACTGAAAAGAAAGTTTTGTAGGTAAATCAAAATTTAATTCATTGTCTGTAAGTTTGTTTTATTCAATTGTGTTTAATATTCATTGTAATGTTTTGTTAGAAACAGTAAACAGATGTACTAGCTTTATAGCTTCTTACATAATCTTTCCTAAAGATAAAAATTGTTAAATACATAATATCTATTTAAGTAGAGCTATGTACGTTTGCACGTATAACACACATACACATTAAACATATCCACCTAACTGCTTAGAGTGACATACAAAGATTGAAAATTAAGCTTTCGAACCGACAGTTTTCGAGTAAAAGTCTAGAAGAAGAAGACAGATTTGAATTTCCAAAGAGGCATGCAGGATTTCCTGACTATAACCTTCAATCACTTAACTCGATGGGAAAATACTTCTTAATACTCGATATGTAATGCAAAATAATGAGACGAATGAACTGAGCAGCCTTTTGAAAAGCTTTTTAGTTAAAAAGAATATATGAGGACAGATGAGTTGGACAGGAAATATATCAATCACAATAGATGACTGAATGACCTTATCGCTACGTATACAAAAAAAGTCTCCTCAGTAAAATCACAAATAGTCTAAGCCTCGTATTACTTTTGTTTGGAAGTGAAAGAATGGATGCTGCAACCGTCTTTTTATTCCCTATGAGAAAATGAAATATTTAAAATTAAATAATACAACAACAGTCGTGTATAACGACGCATGTGACTATCGATAAAAGCAAAGTCCTCAAATATATTTAAGAGAAACAATAAGAGTAGCTTACTTTAATTCTAAATCTTCTTCACCATATTCATCCAAATATACTGAACCCCAATCACAGATATTGGGTCCAAGCGAGACATAGACAATTGATGTGTTTACTTCAAGTACTACACCGGAGAAACCACCACATAGAACAGTGTGCTACAAAAAGAAGAATATGCAAAACAAATACAGTACAGGGAATATAATAATTCTTTTTCCATACTTCGAAACCACTCATCTCACTTAAACATTCAAAATACTAAACAAAAAACTATTAAAAATTGCAAGTATCCTACAGATCAAGTAACTGTCTTCCAGATGTTCTTAAAATAAAAAGCTTTTGTTGTTATCAGATGGTTGGAGGCAATCGGCAGGAAGCCTTGGACACAGGTTTCGTGCTTGTTGGCACTTGTCAGCAAGGCGTTTAGTTGTTCCGTAATGATTCGTAAGAATATAAAACAAAAATGGCCGAAATAATACACGCATAAACAAATTATTTTTGGAAAAATCAGTAACAGTCGATTCTTGGACATATAAGGCTTGTGGTTTTAATTACGCAACAACACAACTACAATCTTTTAAGATTCTCTAGTCACCATACATCCATTTAGATTAAGTCTAGTCTGTAAACGCGAGTTAACCAGAATGCTGATTCAAAAATCACCGTAAAAAAGCACTGGCTATCCCCTCCTCGATATTATATCTGAAGCACTCCAGTAACACCCCCACACACACATGCAGAAATAAAAATTCCCTTCTATTTATATTAGGTATTGATTAGTTAGAGAATAAAGTTAGCCGATGGTTGTTTGTAGTTTCTCTGTTCTCCTTATCAAACTCTTTATTCACTACAATACTCATCTATCTATCTATCTATATTAATTGTGATTGCCTATTTCTATGTAGTAATAAATTGAAGAAAAGTGAATGAATGTAGATCACTGGCAAATCCATCAGGTATCGGTTATCATTAGTATTTCGATATACTATTGCAGTTTATTTATTATAATGCAATTTTCATGACAAATAACCGGTATATAATTAAGCGAATCAGTTATTATTACAGTATTCTTTTATGCACACATATATATATCTTTTGAAGTTAAGACTATATGGATGAACTATAATCTTATGTATAACCATCTTCTATTTGTTTATTTGTCTTTTTTCTGCATCGATCAAAACAACAGCCTAGGCGATGGGATTCAAAAGTTTCACGACCAAGAAATGAAACCTAAAGGCGATGCGTAAAATGAAAACTAAGGTGTACAAATGTACAGAGAAGGAGGGAGAAACCCAATCCAAAGATGAGATAGATACTTTGAAAATGTATACTCCTAACATTCTATTTTGCGCCTATTTCATTTCATACTGATTATCACAATCTATTGTATAATGTTCAAAACTGATAGCAAAAAATTGGTGTTCATTTCCTCAGAGAGAGAGAAAGAGAGAAAAATAAGAGCAAAGCCATTAATTGTACACATTATGTAACCGTTTTCACAAGAGAAAACGGATAACCTCTATTTTTACTTCATTTTTTTTGTTTTCAAAATACAACTAACCAATATATTAGTACATGTATCTATTTTTTTTATAAATAAAATATTTGTGTAAAGTCAATAAACGTATACATATATATATATGCATTTGGATTTATGAAATAGATTCGGGTGAAGAAGATGATCAATAAATGTAGTCAAATAACAACATTTTACGATTACAGTCCCAAATTATCATCTACTTTTATTGCATACAATATTTAAAAAGGAGGTAAATGAGTAGCTTAGGTGGATGATTTTGATGTGGTTGCATTCTCTGAGCTGAGTGGTTTAAAATTACGAAGCTGTTATTGTCTTTGTTTCAGGATTCAAATCATGAACCGATATCTGATAGAGAACCTGGGAGCACTGGACAGCTGTTTCGTACTAGTTTGGGACTCTTCATTAGCACACACGCACTGGGGTCCAAACCCAGGACCTTACGGTTTCAAGGCGAGCTTGTAGACCATTAAGGCACCATCAATGATATAATTGTCGATGAAAACAATCAATACTGATACAAATTAACGACCGATAACAACAAAAGATTGTTAGAAGGTACAATTATATCATTCATAAAGAATTTAAATAAGTTCACTGCATATTGAAGACGCTATCTCAAAGGTCAATGAAAACCTTGCAGTTAAACGACCTAGCTCAGAGAACGCAACCACATTAAAAAAATATACATATATCTGAATCAATATACATCCTCACGTTCACTTTTTTTACCTATCTATCTATCTATTTCATTTAAAAATTAGTCCTCAAGTTTAACACAGTTTACACGTTGGTGCAACGGCTAAATATTGGACCATCTTAATGATACTATAACAACTATAACTATTAACTACTTGAAAGGCGTACAAATGATAGATAATAAGACAAGTAAAGGGCATGGAAATTAATTTAACACGTTTAGTGTGAGTTTATGTATGTGGTTATACACAACCCTGAAGTTCTAGAATCCTTTAGCAAAAAAAAGTGTCAGTGGTGACGATACAATTGTCCAATGTAAGAAATAAAAGAATAATAGTAATACTTTTCACACAGAATGCAGACTCTAGAATTCCATGGTTAACATGGTCACGAACACCTCGCAATAACTCCACCTGGTAGAATCCAATTGGTATGGGAGTGAAATTAGTACAAATGCAAGCTAAATAATGTGCATACGCAATGTAGTAATGAGCTCTTGACTTAATATATGAGTAAATGGTAGCGTTTGTTGCTAGGGTGAAAAGTCATATAATAATAATAAGTTGAATGGCTACAAACTAGGGAGAGGGGACACCTTGAATAATTGTAGCATAAGGAAACTATCTATAAAAAACAAAAAGCAAGCTACTCAAAATCGTTATCATTACATCATCAATATCACAAACAGAGGAGAATGTGTTCGTTTTCTCTCTATCGCTTCACTTACTTCAACAACAGCAGTAGCTAAATTACTGCACAGACTGCATAATAAACGTCCACAGATCAAACAGAGAATATTCTCTTGAAAACGATGTTGATTTGATGTACAATTGACTAAATGTAATGCATTGAAAAGTGTATCAAACGATGCTGGTGTACGTATAAGACGTGGAGAATACAACTGACGACCAACTTCGACCAATGACTATAGTGATTATATATTGAAAAATAATAAATTGATAAATGTACTTTATGAATTTAACAGAAAAAGAATCATATTCACTATTTTTCTATAATAAAATTTATCTATAGTCGTAGAAATGGGTAGTCTTTAGCGTCTGACAACTTATTTAACAATAGTAGTGAACAGATATGGGTGATTTGTACCTCATGGGGAAGGTTTTAACTCAGCTGCGTTCTCTGAGATGGTTGACTGAATCGCAAAGCTTTCGTCGTCCTTCTAGACAACATATCTTCAGAGCAGGTGTTGTTAACCATAGAAGGACAATAAAGGCTTCGTAATTCAACCAACCAGCTCAAAGAACACAAATAAATCGAAATGATTCAGGTTATATAACGACAACTGAGTGAAACTGTCAATGAGTTTAGTAACTCAGTTAAGTAAAGCGTCTATGCTTTTGTTTTTATTCTAATAGTCTCTTTATCGTAGTTTTTCCTAGTTATACTAACTTGAATTATTCGATAAATACATTTTGAAACAACTAAAATGCAAAGACAACACTATTTCAGTATATACCATTTATATCGGGTTTATAAGACTATGTTCTGATTTACTAACTTAACAGTACTGTTTCAGTCATGACTACACAGAGATTTGATTGCCAAAAACAGTTGTCTAACGTTTAAATATTTAAAACTTTATTTTAAATGACCGCTCATCAACCTAATCAACAACTGACTATATATGTTTCACAATTAATTAAACTGAATTAGTGGGGGGGGGAGGTATTGTGATGTGCGATAAAAGAAGTGAAAAATGCGATTATTAGGAATTATTTTGAGGTAGGTGAAAAAAAATTAACATTTATGAAGTAGATTATGCATAACCTCGTGCACTAGACGTCTATAGGCGACATTACCACCAGTGGTAAAGGCCAGTTGGTATACCTTTTCTTATTCCTTTACGTTCCCAGTGGAACATAGGGCATAAAGCTAGAGCTTTGAAGTCTCAGTAGCAGTGGTATTTAATTTTTACGGGATCGGGTTGCTAGCCTCATATCCAACCTTCTCTCTTTACTAGTCTTTTTACTGGCTTAGCAAGGTAAAGAAGTGCGGCGACCGGGGATTGAATCCCGAACCGCCTAGGGCGTGGTTGGCGAGCATTCTACCACTGTGTCACCAGCGCCATGGTATTACTTAGTAGGATATTATTTTCTATAAAATATACCGTATAGTTTATGACGATTTGATGAAATCTATCAGCTGGTTATTTTACTTTCCTATAAATTTTATGATACTCCTGATGATCTGACAAGAACTATACGTTCACTCACATCAGGACGTAAACGTCAGAAGAAAAACTATCTCATCTCAGGAGGGTGTATTTTAAGGAATAGCTTTTATTTTTAATCCCCGACTGTAACTCTGTAGGACTGAACTCGTGATAAGCACCTCTTTCGAACCTGATAATTAATTACCAACCATCTTAATGGGTACCTTAATCGTTAAAAAAATAATAGTAATAATTTTTGCGAAATAATATTTGCAAAACATACCAGTAGATAATCGACTATATGGGTTTTAAAATGTGATTTTAGACTGTCAAGAGGTGGAATATCCATGTACTCATTGACAGCAGTTTTATTATTACTTCTCTTTCCACTGCGTGAAGCTGTGTCAAGAACAGATGGTACTGATGATGGTGATTGAGATGATGATGATGACGTTAATGGTTTTGTTGAATTAGATGAAGAGATTTCAGATGCTTTTTTTATTTGACCTATCCATCGTCTAATAAGATACTGTATAGCATTTCCTTTGTCGCTTCCAGCCAATCCACACAAAGTACCAGCTAATTCGCCCACCTGTCCAACATTTATTACCACACTATCTCCACAGTCCAAAGATAAGATACGACAGAGGTCACTGAATTCAACCAATCGTTGCTGTTGTTTGGTTAATAACAAAAATAGAAGACAGGTGCGGAAATAAAATGGATTAATAATATGTATAAATCAAAAGAATAGAACATACATATTTAAGCAATCATGAGTTTCTTGAGTGCGTACGGAACACTATGAATGTCTGATTTCTATACTAACAAATGCGTTAGACTCAGTTGATCAAGGAGTTTCGTTGTATCATTTGACTCTGAAATGAGGGTCGACCAAAATATTCCAAAACAACTGATTGAGTCATGTAAGAGCTAACAAAGAATTGTCATTTCAAAAGACGATAACCACCAAAGTCTGATAGGCAAGCCATAAAACATCTAAGACCAATTCAAAGTGAAAAGAGATACCCTAACTCGAAAACTTGGCTGATAGAGTTCATTTTTCACCAACACCAAAGACGCATAACATTGGCTTCTCCCTAGTGACCAATTAACGGAAATATAACTCTACAACGCATGAGATGACTGGGATACATAATGCATGTCTTTCTCAAAATGCTATTTTGATGGAAGAATCAGGCACGAATAATCAGGTCAAGATAAAATACCAATCGGTTAAGTAACCGACTGTTGGCCTGAACCCGGAAAAGAAGTGATGATTACTTGCCTATGGTCCTGTGACTACGGAAACCTATGGTTAGAGAATGTAGACCTCACGGCTTAGAATTGAGCATAGTGGAGCGGAAAAGCTTATATACGTTATCGATTTTAGTATTTTCCTACTTGCTTTTCTTTTTTAACCTTATATTATAGCAGACTACGACCTATAATCAGCAGTCCGCTGCATCCCCCTTTATGGCTGTGAAACCTGGCCACTGAGAGTGGGAGACATGAAGAGCCAGGCTAGCTGTCTTTGATTATAGGTGCCTGCGTTCTATCTCCCGTGTTAACTGGTAGAATAGGGTGAGCAATATCGAGGTTAGGCGTCGAGTGTTAGGTAAGGAGGAGAAATCAATCGGTGAGGCTGTGAAGCTACATCGGCTGAGATGGTTAGGACATGTGTTACGTATGCTTATTCATCGATCGCCTTCCTCGCAAAGGCAATGTTAGCTGACATAGAGTCAGGTTGGAAAAGAGCCAGTGGTGGTCAAACCAAAACATGGTTCATCAGTCAATGAAATCCACAACAGTTAGTTTAAGCCACGCAGGAAGGTGTAGACTTCCTGACTAGTTGCCGTTCCTCGGGACGGTAAACGCCAATGAAGGCTGGAGACAATTGGTGATATGGTTCAAAATCGTTCACAATGGCTGATGCATCCACTCCTTGTGGCTTATAATTTCCAATAGTATTATATTGTTCTTCGATATTGCTATTCTTTATACCTCATATTTGTTCACTGTCTCTATTTTGCGTTTCTTTTTACTTTCTTCTCTGGTTTTGTGTGCTGAGTGAAGTGTGGCGACTCGAACTGCTGCACATCGTTGCAAAGTTCTATGTTGAAACCAGTCAGTCAATCACAACCTATAAAGTTATGACTGACTGATTGACTGCTTTCAACATAGAACTTTGCACAGATGTGCACCTGTTCGAGTTGCCACACTCCCTCCATCTACCACACGAAGCAAGAGAAGACAGTAAACAGAGATCCAAAAGACAGATAATAAACAGAAGTGTAAGCCAAAAATAAGAAAACCTTGGAAAAACAACAGAGCTTTAGTGGATATGACAGATTACAACGAGTGAATGCGTCTGCACCAGCCATTGACAACGATTTTGAGCCATAGCACCAATTGTCTGCAGTCATTGCTTTCTACCATCCCGACGACTCTAACTAAACTAGCCAATCTATACCTCCCGACGTCGCTCGCTGGTTTAAACTAACTGTCGTGGATTTCATTGACAGATGAAACCATGTTTTGGTTTGACCATCACTAGATAACTTTTTTCAAACCTGATCCACCCTAAATCAGCTAACATTGCCCATTGTCGAGGAAGGCGATCGATGACTAGGGATGCATACGTAACACATGCCCTAACCATCTCAATCGGTGATTTCCTCTCCTTACCTAGCACTCAACTGATGCCTAACCTCAACATAACAGGGTGATCAATACTGCTCATTTTTTCGAACTTTGTATTATAGCAAACTGCAACCTGTAAAATTATATCCATTCTTTTGTCTTCCTTTTATGTTTACTAGTAGTAGGTGAGCAGATGTGGGAAAATCTCATGAAGCATTACACATTAATGTTAAGGAACTTTCTATTTCAAACGATTAGTTGGTTTGAATAATGTAGATTTCTTATTCAGACTTTTTTCGTTATACCATTAGTGAGGCAGATCACACACACACACATTTATTTTGTTCATCTATTATTAAACTACATATCAATGGAATTTCATATCAAGAAAAAAAATAATAACTCTGCTCTATAGATGAAAACCATGAGCTTTTCCAAGTACATGTTCTTAACGTAATATTCGACAACTTACTTCATTTGTAATACAAGTCATTTCTATTGACACACCACCAACACTTTTATTAGATAATTTCGCTAACTGTCCAACAAATGGTAATCCTAATGGTTTCAGAGTACCAACATGTTCTGGATGCCAACGTGCCCAACAAAGGCTAGCAATACGTAGAAATGGTAGTAGGCGTAGAATTATATGCAATTCGATTTGATTTTCATCATATTCTATAGGAAGACTTTTAGTTGATAGATTTATTGATTCACATGATGATGATGCTGATGTTGATGTTGAAGGTATTTGATTGAGAAAATTTTCATCTGGTAATTTTGATGTTGAATGTGATAAATCTAGAACACGTTTTAATCTCTCCGATGATTGACAGGTGTCCTCTGCTACGACGCAAGATGATTGAATGTTTAATTCACTTAGACATGTAAGTAGAATATCCAAATGTTTTGACAAAACACCGGAAATCTAAAATTTGTTAATTTAATGGAATTAGTGGTAGTATTATTAATTATTCATAAAATTGGCAAACAAACCCTTTTCTTGAATAAGATGAATAAAAGTTGAAATTATGCTTGATTATTATTATTATTATTTCCTTTAATTCCTAGAGGAACACAGGGCTTCAGCCGTGCGTCTCCATTGCGTTCGGTTCTCTCCTAGAGTCTTTACTTGACTCCAAATCTGTCCACACGTTTTCATCATCCCTTCACATGACCTCCTCCAAGTCACCCTTGGACGACCAACTCGCGCTTCCTTTTCGGGTTCCACTCGAGGGCTTGTCTAGTGATGTCACTTGATGGTTTCCTAAGAGTATGGCTAGCCAATCCATCTCCATTTCTTCCTTCCTATTTGTTTCACAATCGGTTCCTGCTGTGTTGGTTCGCTCATTGCCAGAGATCTCTGTTGCTGACCTTTTCTGGCCAGCCATCTGATCTTGAGCGGAGTATTGAGCGAAGACAACTGTTAATGAAGGTTTGTAGTTTGTTCCAGATGCTCTTTATGACGCACTGGCCAAGTCTCTGATCCGTATAGTACCACTGACTGACTTCACATTGGAGTTGAAAATCCGGATCTTATTTTTGATGCTGAGTGCTGTTGACCTCCACACAGGCTTGTCTTGCTTTTCCGATTCTTGCTTCGATATTCTCGTCAGTTCCGCCTGTAGTTGAAACGATGCAGCCCAGGTCGGTAAGTAAGGGAGGCTGCTTCTTTCAAATTTCTCCCATTTATGCTGATTGTTGTCTGTTGTTGTTGTTGCTGTTGGTGGTGTTGCCCAGGAATCTTCATCACCTCTGTTTTCTCTATGTTCACCTGGAGTCCTATCTTCTCTGGATGCTTCTTCTGCCAAACTGTTGCTTTCCGCTTGCATATCTTCCAGTTTGTGGGAAATCAGACACATATCATCGGCGAAGTCCAGATCCTCCAAGTTTTTTGTGTGAGTCCATTTTATGCCTGTTTCCTCATTGCCCCCTGTTTGTCGCATTATCCAGTCCACTGCAATCAGGAAAATCATTGGCGATAGTAGGCAGCCTTGCCTTACTTCTGTCCTCACTTCGAAGGATTCCGTAACTTTCCCGTTGTGGATTACTTGGCATGCAGCATTGCCGTGCAGCTGTTGGATGAGATGTATAATTGTCGGTGGCACACTGTAGTAGCGAAGTAGTCGCCAAATCACCACTCGATCGACGCTGTCGCCTGAAATCATATCCGAATTGAAAGAGCACTGAGAGATTTTAAAGAAGTATTAGTATTAGTGCGTCAGTGGTTCAGCGGTAGAACGCTTGCCAACCACGCATGTGGTCTGAAGTTCAATCCTTGGTCGACGTACTCCTAAACCTTGCTAAGCCTGCAGTAATGCCAGTAAAGAGGAAGGGTTGGCCGTGAGGCTAGCAACCCCATCCCATAAGAATATATATCACTACTACCGAAACTTCAAGCCTCTAGGTTGAAGCCCTATGTTCCACTTGGAACGTATAGGAATAAAGTAAAAATAGCTAGTATTAGATTCTGACTTCACACTTATACACAACTGGTAAACACACATTGCTTCAGTGAATACAGTTCACACAGTCAATGTCTACTTAATTGTTTGTGTATGATAATTTCGTATTCATCCACTGTAAACAAAGTATAAATGTTTCTTACACATGGGAGATACTTTCCGAAGGGAAAATCCCTTTCGATTCATGTTTCACTAATGAAAAATACATCACATTTTCTTTGCTAAACATAAATATACAAACAATAAAAACCTAAATATTGGAATACGAACTACATATTTAAAAGAATAACTATTAATTCAATGTACACTTGACACTCAACAACCCTGTTTGAACATAAAAATACTTATTATATTAAGGCTACAAGGATGTTGTAGTGAATTTATCAAGGTATCTATTTATTAGACGTTGAGATGACCACTAACCATCCCCATAAATGACGAAGATAGAGCTTTGCCTGTTAAAAAATATCTATTCAACCTCTCATCGTTTCGATTATTGTTCCGTCCAAAGCATGCTCGATTACTCCGAGGAGTTTCTCTTCCCATTTTTTTTCAAAACGTTTGTATCGGTAGATGGAAACTTATTTGAATATGGGAGCAATGGTAGGTTGTGATTCATTGACATAAAAAGATGCGCTGGTGGCACAGTGGTTGGGACTCTCACCGACCATGCACATGGTCCAGGGTTCAATCTCCAGCCGACGCACATTTGATGTCAATGGTCGGCCTGCTAAATTTGGGCTACCGATATGGTATGCTGAAAATTCCATACTTTTATCTAAAATACTGTGTGGAGTCAAGCTATAATAAAATAAAATAAATAAATCGAGGTAATATGAAATACAGTGAGCATGATGTACTTTGATGGATGTAATGAATTTTGTAGACCAGTGATTTATACAAGCCGCCACGTCATGAATACATTTACTGTATCCTTTATTCTACTTATTTTATAAGTGATATTGTAACGTCAGGACACAAGAGCACTTGATATACATAGCCAAAGTTCTTCTACTCAATACTGAAATCACAATTCGCTGATGTCCTTTATATTGTGCGTCTTTTCATGCTTTCTATGTTGTTACACAAGAATCTTCAATTTCTTCTCTTCGCCTTTAAATCTATCCTTCTGCTATTTAATACTCTTCCAGCTGACATATATATATACTACTTACAAATCCTTCAAATAACACATACCACAATATCATTTTCCTCCAGTTTCAATGCTCAGCTTGAAAACAATTCATCTAACAAATATTTTGTTGTTGCTGTACAATCGCTTTCTAAGCTTTTGTTGCATTATTGCACCTGATCACGATTCACGCCTCGTCGCCACTGTACACACTCGAAGTAAATGAAATCGTTAAAAAAAAACTCTACTCAATCGTTCGCCCTCTCTTTTCTTTTATAATACCTTGATAGGAGAAATTCCCGTGGAAAAGGTTACTATGTCTAGAACATATACTGTAAGTGACTCACTTTACCCAACAAATGTCGAGTAGCATTGATTTGCTCAGATAAACTGAAAGATGTAGATTTAGTTGGTCGATTGAATGAAACACTGATAAGTGCTCGTATATAGGCTAAGCAAAATGTTAGTGCTAACACTGTGTGGAATATATCTGTCACGAAGTAAACGTTTTGAAAGAAAAAACAAAAGAGAAATGACAATAAAAAAATTTAGTACAACTATATATGTGTATTGTAAAACAAGCATTACAGATGAGTTATTTTATAGCGTCTCATTCGAATTTCTGGATATCAGTTCCACCATGTTTAAAGATACACTGAGTGAGAAAGCTCGACCTAGGTCCCATATTTATTTGCAAACATTATGTATGGTAGAAAGAGTGTTGTAATATTTAAAGAATTTAATACTTAACTCATTACTTAAAATAAATAACAGACCCAGTGTTCATATAAGATGCTTGGAGGCAATCGGCAGGAACCCTTGGACCTAGGTTTCGTGCCAATTGGCACTCGTCAGCAAGGTGTATCTGCAACCTTGAAGGGATTGATGTCCCTTCTGAAACCCGAACCCGCGTCACCCAGTACTGCAGTCAGAGACGTTACCACTGAGCTATTCGGGCTCATCATCTAATTCATTTAATATCATCAAATCAACGTGCACCGTGATGGCGAGCTACCCCTAGAATGGGGGCCATATAGTAAACCTGACTGATAGAATTCAGTCTGCACCGAAGTAAGGACTAGACACATCGCACTAGTTACTAGTGTCCAATCAAAGACCCAGTGTTCAATTTCGCAAATTCGGCTCTCCCAGCTGGGTACGCCATTGTTGATCTTGAGCCCAAGTGAGTGAAACAGCAGCCTAATGTTTACATCACTTCGATCAAACTGCCATGCATTGATTTGAGTAGCATCAAACTACTCATGTCATTTCGTCAGTAGCATAATAATAGTGCGTTTAAACTCAGTGTTCACCAATAATGTGTTATGTTTCTAAAGAGCTTTAATCAAAAATTGTTCTCAACTGGAGAACTGAAGAGCACTAGTATGTAACTCTTTAGCTATTCAAATACATGATCTCTTCACAAACAGAATGAGAAACCATCGATGAGCACATTACCAATGGGTGGAAGTCGGAACAAATTCCTATATGCTTGCAACAATGATCAATGCGACAAACAAAAATTATCTCATATAATTAATCTACTAACAAGCGAATCTGCTCATGAGTAATTGGTTTTGAGACAGTTTTCCTAAAGTTTGCAAGATGGATCGTAACCAGTAGTCTCTATCAACAACGTTCAGGATTCGAGGACAGATGATATTGGATGCCCATGACTATAAAAAGTGGACTGAGGAACGTTAAAACTGAGAGACTGGATTTTACTGACTAGCTGACAGATTTTGACTCTACAATGAAATTAATTATATATATCCCAACAGACCCAATACCTGAAAAATAATTTGAATTAGTGAGAGAAGTCATTTTCAGGCAACTAACTCAATGAAGATAATACCAGGCATCATACTCGAAATTACCCACGCAGTGGTCAAAGAAAGGTAGAAGCCTTTCAGTAATTATCACAACACATTATACCACTTGTCTGAGAATGCTTAGTCCATAGGTTCAGATAAATAATTTCGACCTTGATTAAAATCTTTTTTTATGACTGCCGATTTGATATACGTGATATGCAAAGCCAATGTCAGCATACAATATACCCAGACATGAAGCATATGTATCTGCTACGTTCACCAATATTTATCTGAGTAACCATCCGCTGTTCTTGAAGGTGTAAACCATAGAACAGTTAACAGTCGGTGATATAGCGGTTAGGACGCTCGCCGACCATGCACATGGCCCGGGGTTCGATCCCCGGCCGACACACTCCTTTACCTCGTTAGGCCAATAATAAGACTAGTAAAGTAAAGAGGGAAGCTTGGGCATAAGGCTGGCAACCCCATCCTGTAAAAGAAAAACACTGCTACAGAAAATTCAAGCCCTAAGTTGACACTTCCCCATAAATCTTAGGCATCGTGGAAGGTGATCATAAAACATAACCCAGTGATGCAACTGATGCAACACTTTGTTACACATCCGGTCATTATTCTTGATAAGCTTTTTAACCTTGACACAAATAGTGAAGTGATGCAACATCTAGTGGCTAAAGTATTTCTGAGGTGTAATTAAAAAGCTTATCTCACAATTTTAATCATACAGAACTAAGTTTTCTCAGGGTTGTTGATTTACATCAGCTTGCAGCAAATTAATAATCATATCTTTACTGCACAGAATTTTCAGCAGTTTATATACCTGGTGAAATCCAACTTCCAACAATATTATAGTTACAATAAAGTTAATCAACCTACCTTCACGTGGCCAAATATGAGGTAATAATCCAAGTAGAATATCCACTGGATCTTGTAATAAAGCAAACATTGGGATCCTTAAAAAAAAAAACAATAACGAAAAAAGATGACACTTGATGTGACATTATTTTTTCCAAAATAGAATGAAAGTTTCTAACTGTACATAAAGGTCAAAATCAGACAGAAGTCGAGTACAGTAAAGTACTTTTAACTTGGTGGTCTTTGGGACCTTGGATAAGTGAGATACAGATTGCATCAGTTACATTGTTTAGTGATGAATTTACCGATAACCATAGATTATAATATAATCACAGATTTCTAGCGTCGGTGGTACAGTGGTAAGGACGCTCGCCGACCATGCACATGATTCGGGGTTAGATCCCCGGCCGACGCACTCCTTTACCTCACCAAACGAGTAATAGAAAGCCGGTAAAGAGGAAAGGATGGGCATGAGGCTAGCATCCCCATCCTGTAAAAGTAAAACACTGCTACAGAAACTTCAATTCTCTAGCTTGAAGCCCTATGTTCCACTGGGAACGTGAAGGAAAACAAAAATACACAGATTTCTAGACTTCGATAACAATAGACATCAAAAAAGAACCATCAGTACAGCAAGATGGTATACATCAACGACTGATGGAGTAGCTGATAACTACTCACATCTACCAGTTTTGACTGTTAGAGTGAATCTGGTGATCCAAACAATGAACAGTTGTTTGAGACTAAGCATATATGCGACATTACAAGATAGACTCAGCTCAGAAAACTCAGTCAGTTCAAACGACCCGAATTTCCACTGACTACTTGGGCAAATTCATGATATAGAGAATACACAGTAAAAGGTAACGATTTATCACGATTTCAAATAAAACTACCAGAGTAGTGTAAGAAGTTGCACTGAGTACCTGAGTTATGAAAGACAATCAACAACAGTCTTATGCGACCCACTAGGTGAGTCATAAGTTATGTTTACAGGATGAGTTTATAATATTTTTTGGTTGCTAATGCTGCACTAGGACCTTGGACACAGAACCTGTTGTCTTAACGTCAGCCATTGAGGTCAACGTATGCAATGAAAGGAATGGAGCAACTGTGACCACCAATAAGTGATAACAGAAATTATTTAGCCTTCTACACAAATTAATGAGGACAATAGCGGAAACAAAACAATCAAGAGTGGATATTCACATCAATACGAAAGAGGAATTGCAGGAACAATCATGAAAGTAGTGTGGTGAGAGCTGTCTGCTAGCCAAATTGGTAGACAGTAATTTGCGTCAATGTTTTCGTCCCCAATATTGGTCGTGAGAAAAATAAGAACAAAAACTGATTTAACAACCAACTACAGCAGACTTTGCGTAGGCAGATACAATTCGCAGATAGATAATCTGAACTTCAATAAACGGCCACAAAAAGATGAAAGATTAACGTTCAGCGAGAATCCACCAGTCAGAAGACTGTGTTTGTTTGCTTGAATAATCTATAATAATGTACATGAAGATATATAAATATGTGTTGATTTCCTTAATAAACGATCTGTTGCCTGGCCCCTGTCTTCTGTTGTTACAGTAGGACTGGCAGATTTTCGAGTTCGACTGTCGTTAACTAAGCACACCAAGCTTATGTAAAATTTTAATGTCCGACGTATGATTTGCACTTCTAGGTGAAAGGTCACTTCGAAGCTGCATTTACATGAAACATGTTGTTGCACATGATTTTGTCTTTGATATGAGTTAAAATTTGAATGCATTTACAGCGAAACAGGGGTTTTCACAACCTACGAAATCCAGTAATTCACTATGATAAAAGAAAGCTCTACACTGATAAATAAAAATGTTTATAATTATGGTTGCAAAATCAAAATATCATCCAGGAGAGTAATAACAAAACATATGGCGCTTACGCGACATTGTCCGGCTTTGTGACATCATCAGCCATAAGACATAGTATTAAACTCTGAATATCAGATGACGATTTATAAATCTGACGAAGATATGAGATAAATTCACCTGAAAAAAATACATGAGATTGAAAGAAAGCTGAATTCTACTGAGCTCAAACAACTTATCATAAGCATAACGTCTGAAGTGACACTTTCACTGGGTAATTCATTGAATCAGGCACATTCTTTTGTTATAAGTTAAAGCAAAATATGAGATAGCTTGTTGTCTGATTGCGTTATTCAATTACGTGTAACAGAAGAACATACTTTTTTTTAGAATTGTCTATTTAAGTTATCAGTTCATCAACTTCAATAATCACCAATCCTAATAAAGATACAAAAATAGTCCAATTTATAAGGCGTGAATCCATTTCTTTTTTGTAAATCCCACGATTAAGTTCTAAACCTCATTAAGTAAACTGACCTAATGATCTACCGAATTCATTATTATGGTTACTGCTTTCAAATTTTAGGAAGTTTAAGGTAACTTCCGACGATAAATATCAACATAATTTCATGACTATTACTGCTTGCAATCAATAAGCAAAAGACAGAAGTGACGACGTTAAAAACTTAATTAAGTAAGCGGAATTAACAAGTCATGACTGGTCATATTATATCTGCAGTGGACAAAACTGAGAAATTGTGTCTGTTTACAGTATAAGTAGCATATACGCGTTCATGTGATTTGGAGGCACACACTTATGAAACAGGGCCGAAGTAACAGGGGAATACTAAAGATTAAACAGACAGAATCAACTATTCCGAACATCAAATAAAAATCAAAAGAACGGCTGATCAGACAAACATAAAAGTTATACAAAATCTCTTTCACAATATTCGTAAGTTAGAGTAGCATAAAATAACGGAAACCTAAGTCACTTATAGTGATTTAAATGAAACTATAAAGCGCACCTGTGTATTTTCTTCAAACCTCACTTACGTTTCCGTTTCAATAGAAAAAAAACTATGTAATAACGCTAATTTTATCAAAAAGGTAGTGCACCTATTTCTCGATTTTTTTTAGGACATCTTTAGGATCTAAACCAATTCTGAAAATGCTTCAATCAAGGAATGACTGACTACTTTTCAACAGAGAACTTTGCACAAAAGTGCAACATTTCAAGTCGCCACATTCCATGAGGCACACAAAGGCAGATAAAAGAGAAACAAAAGAACTATAAAAAGAAGAAATGTGAAGGAGAAAGAATAGTAGCATGGAAAAAGACGACGTTTTAGCGGGTATGGGAGGTCACAAAGAGCACATGAATCTTCATCACTGAGAAAAATTTTGAGCCATATCACCAACAGTTTTTAGCTATTAATTCTTAGCATCCCGAGAACTCTGACCAGACAGCCTACAAATCTCTTCGTGGCTCAAATCAACAGTCAGAGATTTCATGGACCAATAGCACGTTTTGGTTTGACCACCTTGAACATTTTTGTGACCTAATCCAATGTCATTTAACATTGCCAGTCGAGTAGGGTGATGGCTCGGTATTAGCAGCACGTATCCTAGCCATTTCAAACGACTCACCTTCACAACCTCATCAACTGACTTACCCTTCTTACCTAGCACTCCACTCCTAACCTAAATATTACTCACCATATTATACTAATTAATACGAGAGAAAGTACACAGACATCTGTGGTTACAGACATGTAGTCCATTTTCAATAGCCAAGTCTCATTCACAGTCATGAAGGAGATCGGAGCAAACTGCTGTTCAGTACAAACGTTCTTTGATGAATCGTCGGATACCAAGTCTACGCCAAAGATGATGTCAGGTTGGCAAATGTCACAAGGAATACTCAATAGGTAACACAAATACGCACATACCATTCATATTTTAACCGGTCAAACTCTTTAACTCATTTATTTAACAATACTTGATTCTGTATTAAGAAGAAAAATTATACAGTGACTTACGCCAGTAGCAACGACGTGATACCATTGAATACTGTGACGGGAAACTCATTAATACGCTTAATTCACATTCCAATTGAGATCTGTTAGTATTGTCGGTGTTTATCAAAAAGGAAAAAAATAAAAGGAGGCAATCAAATACAATTATAAAAGGCAAACACTAAAGCAAAAACAGGTGTATATATATATATATATATAATCAGGAATGTGAAATGATATTAAACAGACAATGAAAGGAAAAGCTGTTATTACGTTATAATCTAAACCGTCTTATGATGTTGTTAGGTGGATAAAGATAATAGTTGAATCCAGGATGAGCTAAAAGCTCGATATGGGTTATATTGGTCCTATTGAGACTAGAATCCAGCACCCATCAATTCAAATTCACCAGCGCTATCCACTAAGCTAGTTAGAGTTCCAGTGGCTTAATGGTATACGAACTCACTGCGTAACCGGAAGGTCCCGGGTTCGAACCCCGGTGGGTGGGTACAGATAAAGAGTTGCAGTCCCAGGTTTTCGAATGGTTCTCTAAACGATTTCAACTCATAAAGAAATCCTGAAATAAATACTTTGTAATAGACCATGCTAAGAATTCTGAAAGATGCATTAAGCCGTCTTGTTTTTGACATCACACACAAATTGATGTTTATGTCGTTGTAATGTGCTACGAGTAATGTTCTTTTTAGCTAATCACTAGAAATTAGACAAATTTTTCTCTGGCTACCACAAAACATTTACTAAAACTTAGATGGAATGTGTCTGGAATGTAACATTCGAAAGGAACAAACGATTCCTCCCCCTTCCAAAAAAATGAAGAAGGTATTTCTCTAAACAACTAACAAATAAACATGAATTGTGATTTTTGCATTGATTGTATCATGTGGAAAAAACGCCGCAGTTTGAGTAGGATACTCTCGGTTTCGCGAAATGCCTTAACCATGTGTAACTTCTTAAAATGAAATTACATACAGAATGAGTGACTACAGACAGTCAGTTTTGAAAACAATATTTAGTAGGGCATTGTTGAAAGTTTGATGGAATGCTTTTTTTCTGAACACACCATGTTTTACCTATAATAATAATTTCAGTTTACTTCCTCTTGACTTCTTCTTTTGCTTAGTAAGAGTGATATATGTTGAACTAGTGCATTTCTGTATACGCTTCTATACACAGGAGAGAATGCCTTGTAGTTTCACAAAATCCACGTACATGATTCTGTCCGATGAAATGTAGTATTTTATGAGATTTAGGAGAACAGAACTTGATAGTGTTTTGTAGGCGATTAGCACCTTTCAGGCATAAAATGATGATAACTAACTAACTAACTCACTCACTAACTCCTACTGCTAGTTTAAACTCTTAGAAAGAAGTGAATGAACAACACTGATCAATGAGTAATACATATCATTTATTATAAAAACTGTTACAATCTTCAGTAAATGGTGTTGAAGAGTTACAACAAACGAGGCCAAGACAGCTGTCCAGTACAGTACTCTCTGATTTTCAATAGTTCTTTAACTGAAATCAGTTCGACATCTATCTTAAAATAGTGTTGAATTCGAATTTCACAATTGTCCGCAATATAAAACCAAACTTAAGCGAAAATATTAGCAACAATGTAATATCGTGTTAGTAGTGTCATGCCTTACACTTTTCTCATCCACATAAAATATGTGCTAAATAAGGCATTGTAGTACTTCGGGCATAAAGTCTTCTATAGTTGCTTCTAGTTTACCAGATGAAATGTAAGGAGAGAGTAGTGTATACAGAGGATGCTCAGGGTCTGACAAGATAATATTTGCAAATTTCTTGCAGGAGTTCATATGTTTATCTACAATAGTATTAACGAGTTTGTTTAGCAACATCCCACTGACAGATTTTAGTGCCTTTTGCAGTGTAAAAAAGTCTTCCTAGAGTAGCCCAGGAAAGATTAAGGGGGAACATTAAACAAGAATAGGTAGAATAAAAGAGAATTAACCAACTTAGAAAGTAGAAACTGTATGATATCAGATTTTCTTAATCTCCTTACACTTAGAACGCTAATTGAAAAACCACTTTAGAAACTAAAATAAATGATTATATCTCTATATGTAGATATGGTTAATGTATTAACTTATGATTGCAAAAGACAAGAGTGTTCTTATAACTCAAGTGGTAATGAAAAGAATAAATATAATAATACATAAATTAAAAGAAAAAAATATATATGCACAAGATACCTTAATAATACTGTAGCTTCATAATTAACACCAATTAGCGGGGACAAAAGAACTCGACGTTGAAGGTTTAATTCATCATCGGGACCATTTAAATCATTCCAGATAGTTGAACCAGTATTCGGTAATACATTCTATGAATTAATAAAAGAAACATAATGATAATAATAATCACGATGCTTACGAGATGTAGACGTAAAGAGAAGGGTAAAAAAGAAGATATTCTAATGTGTATTAAGATTAGACGTAACTGAAGACAATCTGAAGTCATAAGCATACGCCATGTTGACAAGGTAACAATTTTTCTCCACAAACAAACAGACAAAGGCGAAAAGTCCAGCAAGTAGACAACAGTAGGATTAATAATTATAATAATATGCTCTATTCCAAAACAGTACTTGTGATACAGAATGGAATTTTCAGCAATTTTACTACAGTATTGCATCCAGTTAGTACATTATCAATAAATAAAATTCTACATAGATTAAGGAAATCTCAGTTCATTATGACAACAACATATCGGCATGTCGGTAGCAAAGCCAAAGTTGAGCAGTATTTGAAGGTGTTAGAAAAGTAGATGCTATCATATGTACTGGCGTAAGCGGAAGAAAGAAACAAAGCAGCACATAATAGAAAAAAAGAGAGAGAAAGGGTAAAGAAAGAAAGAAAACGTTGTACCTATAAGTGATATGAGTTTGAAAGACGAGATGTAGTTGTTCTACTGATTATTTGATAAGTTATAGGTATCACCCTTAATGCTTCCTTTATCGCACAGAACACGAGCTAAGTAGGGTACGGTTGAGTTTTTGTACTTGCTAGTGCGAGCACATAGTTTTCTATATAGGCTTCTGGTTTTGCCTGATGAGGTGTAAGGGGAGAGTTGTGAATGAAGAGGGTGGTGTGAGTTAGATAAAATGGATTTAGCCCATTTTTCACATGAGTCCATGTGCCTGTCAACCAGAATATCTATGAGATCCACTAGACGTTCAGTTCTTTTATATTTCCTCATATGCAAATCAACTGTGAGAGAAAACAAAAAAATTTCATTTCCTAAAGTATACTAAAATGATATAACGAGAAATGGGGAAATGTTAGTGGATACTTGACATCTACACGCATAATATAAGGCCACTACAACACAAAAAGTAAGAATATAAACGAGAGTCAAGTTAAACAACAATCAAAATTTGAATGATCAGTCGACATAAGTGTAACCTTTAATTTAGCATAGCCAACGTATGCAACAGTCACAAAACAAATTAACACGTTAGGGCGAATAAAAGTACATAATAACTTACTAGTAGGTTTAACAGGGTGGTAATATTATGTTCAGCATATTCTACAGAAGGGAATGGATTCTGTTTACCGTCTCCATTCGACTTTGGCATTGCTACTAGAGGCAGCAGATGATGAATATCTCTTCTACACAAAGGACATGCAACCCAAGAACGGTTGCGTGCTGCAGCTGATCTATTCGCGCCCTTAAATGAAAAGAAAACCAAACGAGAAACAGCAAACTTTTAGTCGATTTTAGTCACATATAATTAAAAGAGAACATCTTATTGACTTATAAATAAGTTTTAGGTTAGACCATCGATTGATATCAGTTAAAGAACCACTGAAAACCAGCATGTGGTGCTGGACAGCAAGCTATTTAGTTCTAGTTTGGGACTTATCAGCAGTACGCACCCACCAACAGGGTTCGAACCCAGGACCTTCCGGTTTCAAGGCAAGCTCGTATACCATTCAGCCACTAAGACCCAATTCAATGACCAGTGCATGAATTCTAACTTCCACCAATTCGTGATTCTAGTGCGCACCACCAACCAGTCGGAAGTGAGAATGGAGTTCCCACCGATGACATTAGTCATTATTTTGGAGCATAAATACACTCTACCTGGAAAAACGCATAAAATATGCTTTACCCATAGTTTCTTGTTGATTTCTCTTTTTGCGAACAAAGTAAACTTCGCAAATTGTTTTATTTAATGTTTAATGATCACACATTGAACATTCAATCCTTATGATGCTGTAACCGACAGCAAGTGTACCACAGTTTATAATAACACGTTTATACTTTAGTGATAGAATCATTGTACAGAATTAAGTCGAGTAGCAATAGAGAACTTCTGGGGCTACGTACACGAGACTTTAAAAACTGACGGTATTATATGTCAATCTGTCTCGAAAAAAAATGCTAAATTCATACACCACTAAAAAAAGACAGCGGCATTGCATACCATCACATGACTTATTTGTAAAAGTGAAGCATGTGAAAGAATCACAGATAGACAAATGATAAACAATTTACTTTAAAGATCATATCTTAGACTGTCAAACAGTTATTATGATTATTATTAATACAGAAAAGAAAACACAATCTACTATCACTTGTTCAAGATTGTCTCTTTATAAAATCTTAATTATATATGACATACATGTGTACAATAGCGCTGGAAACACTCTCGATGAACCACATGACCACAGGTTTGCAACAACAATCCAGAGCGTAATAATGGTAGTGTTTCAGATATTAAAGAAGGCAGTGCGCAACTCCACCATTGACGAGATTCAACATAACGTGTTTGTTGTTTTGAACGTTTAGTTTCAGAAAGATTATGAGGTTTAGGTGATGAAGATGAACGTTTTGCCTGTGATGGTGCAACAGAAGAACTAAAACCAGAATTTGTACTTAATGGCTGTATAGGTAGACCAACAATGCCTGCTGGAGCTTGACTACCTCCGCTAACAGGAGATGTATTATCAGAAGTGGTGGAATGAAGTAATTGAGTTTCTTGAAGAAATGAACTAACAGGTGGTCGTTCTGGTGATAACCATGATAACTCATCGGTAACCGAAAGAAGTGGAGGAAAACCTGAGGACTGGCTAAGATCTCTCCCAGATAACGTTGGCAATATTGCTGTTTCTCGAAGCTGGAGCATGACTGCAAAAAAATAAATAAAAAAATACAGGCACATGAAAGACGACTCAGAAAAAAAGAATCATCTACTGTGTTGTTATGACGTTAACTTGCTGAATAATTCAAGTGTTGAATAGTGGGTTACTGTCATTATTACAGACAAACAGACTCTAATATGGAATTATACTCTACCACGGTAACCGAAATCTCCTCCTACAGTGATATGAAATAAATTAATATAAAAAATATCATCATTTCAAACTGTCAACTTTTGCTACAGTAAAATGTGATAAGTTGTAGATATAGAGCAGCATGCTAACAAATAAATGAATGAAGAGAAGCGAAGCGAAGAAATAAGCAATGAAACAATGTTTATAGTCTGAATGTTTTGTTTGAGAATGAAACATTGACTGACGACTGGTTTCAACGTAGAACTTTGCACAGATGTGCACCTGTTCGAGTTGCCACACTCCCTCCATCTACCACACAAAGCAAGAGAAGACAGTAAACAGAGATTCAAAAGACAGATAATAAACAGAAGTGTGAGCCAAAAAGAAGAGTAATTGAGAAAAACAATAGAGCTTTAGTAGATATGACAGATCACAGCGAGTGAATGCATCTGCACAAACCGTTCACAACGATTTTGAGCCATATCACCAATTGTATCCATGCGTAACACATGTCCTAACCATCTCACTCAACCGATGTAACTTCACAACCTCGTCGATTGATTTTCCCTCCCACCTACCCAGTACTCGACCGACGCCTAACCTCAATATTGCTCACCCTATTATACCCCTTCACACGGGAGAAAGAACCTAGGCACCTATGATCAAAGACAGCTAGCCTGGATTTTCATGTTATCCACTTTCACCGGCCATGCATCGCTCACAGCCACAAAGGAGGACGGAGCGAACTACTGAGCAGTACACACGCCCTTTGGTCGACAGCCAGCCGGATACCACGTCTACGCCAGAGATGGCGTAAACTAGGACATACTAAACGAGCCTTCTGTATCCGTACTGAGATTTCGCCAGCGATCAACCCACTGATGAATATTGTGCGAAACGTCACAGTAAACATTACTGTTACACTGTGAGACTTTACCCACTGGCACTGGCTGATGCAACTTCCCAAATAAGTGAAGTCGTCAACACACTCCACCAACCAATTCACTCTTCACTCCCTATCTCTAAGCTAGGAGTCAATGTAGTCCAGTCAGTCCTGTGGCATCATCTTACATTTGACAAAGGGAGCGAATCGCATGCCAAACATTCGAAGATTGCTGCCTGTCAAGGTGTTCAGAAGACTCTGCTGCATTTTGTCAGCGTCTTCACCTAAGAAGGACTATATCACCTGCATATTCTGAGTCAACGAGATTATTCCCTGATGACAAGTCAATCCCTGAGTCGCTGAAGTCAGTTAGGGCTAAGTCCATTAGTGCATCTATGATGAGGTTAAACAGAAATGGGGACAGTGGGAATCGCTGAAGGACACCGCTGGTTGTCATCACTTCAGGTGACAACTCTCGGCAGACTCTCATCTGGCTGACTGCATGAGTTCGAGTAGAGTGAGTGCATTGATCAGTGCAATGTATTTTCTCGACATTTCCTTCATAGCTAAACATCGCCAGAGTACCTCTCGGTTGACGGAATTGAATGCTGCCTTCAGGTCAAGAAATATGACGATTGTTGGACACCGGTAAGTATGGCTATGTTCCAGAATCTGTTGAAGGGTGAAGATTTAATCAATACACCCTCTTCCTGGTCTAAAGCCTGCCTGGTTCTCTCGTGTTTGTTCCTCCCGAGAACCGCTTAGTCTACGCATTATTATTGAGCCTAGAACTTTAGATATCATATTGGTCAAGCTAATCTCCCTGTGATTACCACGGAAAAACTTGTCTCCCTTCTAGCACAATTTGGTTCGTAATATAGCAGAAGTTGTCGTTCAGTAACATTGGTAATTAAAATTTTCTCACATCTATCTTGTTTAACTATACCGATCACAGATTTCCAAGTGAAATTCAGCAGTCACTCATAAAAAGCAAATAAATGTAAGCAGCTGACGAGAAGGCAACGAAATAAAAGATGATACCATTTTATTCTGCTAAAACTGTAGTTCTTGCTTTGTTCAAATATGTACATATATTCAATAAATGAAACAAACCAACTTAAAAAAAAGAAAAACTTACGATTCGATTCACACATCATATCTAAAAGAACCATATCATCTACAGAAGGTCGACCAGGGGTTTGACAAATGACACACTCATATGATGGTTCACTTTTATCCAACTGATCTTGACGATCTACTGTCTGTTGATCTGAAATAGAAAAAATTGCAGGCAAAGAAAAAAAATGAAAATCTGATCAGTAGCTTGGCCGCGAATAATTCATATCCGAATTAAATTCCAATGATAAATAGTTAAAAATTGATATAAATCAAATAACAGCATAAATTTCAACTGAAGGCCATCTTTTCGTTTAAATACACTTTGCCCTGAGATTAAAAACTCCACAACACAAATGCTGTTAATCAAAATGATACAACGCGTAACGCGATACAACAACCTGTCTCAAACAAACCGACAAGTTAATATGAGTAGGAAGAGGACTTGGTTCAGATCACACACATCGTGTACATTTATACATCTAATATTTTATGAATTAAAAGAAATCTAGGGGGGTAATAGAATCACAGCCAACGTCAGCAAAGAAGATAAAAATTTCACCTATGAAGAATTCACAAAGCTCAAGCCAATTCCAAGTTAGCACTGAAGATTTTGCCCAGAAGCTCAATGAAATCTCAATTAAACCAATCAGCTCAGGGAATAAAACACTAAAAATACCCTTCTGAACCAAAAAATCTCGCGGACGGTAGTCAGTACTATCTATAGTTATGCTTAAACTGATTATGGTTTCTATTTATATACAAAGATTCGATTTATATCCGGCTTCAGCAAACTCAAGTAATTCCTGATGACGATGCATAGTGGTCGAAGTTCACGAAACGACGTGTCATGGAGATTCATGAGATCCAGCAGTATTTGACAGTCATTTATGAAAGTACTGAGCAGATTAAGTCGACAGACATTTGTCTGTACACTTAATGAGTTTGCTTCCACAAACACATGCAAATCGGTGACCACAGTTTGATGGGGTGACCATTTATGACTGAACTTTTGCTGCTATTAGCAGTAATCGTGATTGTTTTCGTTTTACCGCATTCTCTAGGCGACGTTATGCATCCCCAGACATCGTCTTCTTTGACAAACAATGTTAGTTAGCACAAGGTTAGATAAGAAAAGAGTTAAGCGGAGTGGTCAGAACAAAACATGGCAGGAATCCATATAGAGTCTGTGACTGCTGGTTCGAATCAGGTATGAAGGTGTAGACTGCTTGTATGGGGCTTTCATGTTGCTAAAAACTAATGGTTGGAGACTCCATATACACTTCTGAGAATGTTACCACTTCTTATTAATTACACTGGCAAATAATCACTCACTTCCTATCGAGCATACACACTTAGAAAACCTAAAAATTAATTGTTGTCAGCATGTCAGCACGTGTTTCTATATATGCTAACCTCTTGAATTTGTATAAATAATTGTTTTCCTTATTCATCAGCTGACAAGTATAATTGAAATCGACGAATCTATTAAATACTCTATATTCTCCCAACCGCTGCTTGTTTTAAATACATAGTAGCAAAAACTGTTTGCATTTTTATCTGAACGGAAGTAAGTGGATTATGTTTCCGTCTAAAATTCGAGTTTTAGGACAGACTGTTCCCTCAAAGTTACTTTATCTCGAGAAACATTCAAAGCCCAGGCAGTTTGGAGAGTTGTTTCCTTCTGATTTAGGACTCTTCAACAATGTGCATGCAAAACCTCTAAGAAAAAGGGTCGAATGTGCCAGCAATCAACCACTGTGTTGTAATCTAACTTCCATAATGTTCTTGTTATTGACAACTTAATCAAAGTAGGAACTTTAGATCATAGGACTTTTTAGTTTACAACTGCAAGATATAGGGTAGGAAACGCTTAACAAAAATAATTATCAAGGATTGATATACGAACCAAAAAGACGTTTTTCAAAGATAAAATCAGCAAGGATAGAATGACATGTATGATTGTTGAAAGCAACATTCTCATGATTAATAAAGTGTTATGACTTACTGAGCGATTCCATATCCTTTAAATGCGTGGAAGCAAAGGCCTTTTGTTTAGACGCCATCTGTTCCATAAGCCGTTTACGTCGTTCTTGTGCTGCACGTTTTCTATCATCACGTGTAACATTTGTTGGTACTTGTGAAACAGACGAAGGATTTGTCACATTTTGAGGTATCGAAGGATTACTTGGTAGGTATGGTGAGAAAAAGAAATACAATAGCGTACAAAAATTTTGTCAAATAATTAATGATAGATAGATAGATCATTTGTTTACATAACGGACACTAACATAATAGAAGAGATCCTTCCTTACAATATACTAATTGTAGAAATGTATAAATAATGACTACAACTAATGAATTTCAAAATATGAAGAAGCGTCTATCCATTCGAGATCATCTCGGGATTAAGCCACGTAGGTGTGGGTTTCGTGTTTCATGGTATACGTCAATACGAAGTAGCTTAAACAGAAAAGAGCTAATCACCCCTTGAAAACAAAGTCACCAAGTATTCAGTTAGATGTATTACATACAGGTGAGCATTTTTATGTGCCATGAATAACCTATTATTGGTGTTCGTGTTTAAACCGGAGAAGCAGTCATTATTTGAACTTGTAGCAAATATGACTTGTATGACCTACACATAAACACACTCTCTTCTTCTATTTTCCATAAACAGAATTTATGTGATTCGTTCATCTTCTTATCCTTACACCTGGCAAAATAAACTTTTAATTTCTTTGATTTACCCAATACTGTATGTATGTACACAAGTTTCTACTCCAATCTAATTTTACATTATCAGTGTTAGCATTCATTCACATGGATTTGATAATCAGATCGAGTAAAATTCATTGTGGACATTAACCAAAGTGTGATGGTAGTTCAGCGATAGAACGCTCGCCAACCATGAACTTAGTCCAGGGTTTGATCCTCCACCGACGCACACTTAAATCTTGCTAAGTCAGTAGTAAGACCGACAAAGAGGGTGGGGGTTGGGAGTGAGGCTGGCAATCCCACCCAGTAAAAGTTAAACCACTGCAACCGAAACTTCAAAGCTCTTACTTGAACCTTTATGTTCCACTCGGAATGTGAAGCAATAAAATTTTTTAAAATAAAATAAACTGTAATTTTCTTTGAAAAAAGCCCTTTAAGATATCTGACAGACAATTCGGTACTTATATTTGTGTATATCGTCATATGTATACATGTGTTTTGACTATCTCCTAGTAGAAACATAATCGGATATAACTGGAATAAAACCAATAGATTACAGGTCACCACCCATGAAAAATCTAGATTGACAGTATGGGGCATACTATTAGGATATATTAGAATACATGTCACCCAATTACTGGTTCATGCATAATCCTATAATCTTTTGAATAACTTAACAACATAGTTTAATACCGTCAGCTAATATCTATGATAATTGTGACGTGAGTTAAGGACAATATCACATTGATTAAGTCTAAAGTAAACAATTTGCATTGAGAATATAACTTATTTGTTTTCATCCTTGGTTAAGGAGAAAAACATATCTACATAGACTCACTAATCATTTGTTATAGAATGCGGTGCATACATTGTTGCAGACGCTTGAAGATTTCGTAAACACGCGGACGCCTCTTCATCAAGTTTCTTTGAGTTACACGAACTACCTTCCGATTGCTGTGGCTGTTGTTGTTGTGCTGCTGCTGCTGATATCCTGGAGCGACGTTTATATCTTTACTGGATGACATCGTGTCCATTGGTTGAAGAGTATGTAATTGTGCTACAGCCTGATAGGGATTTCTAGCTCTAGCCAGATACATTTTAATTGCTGACTTATTATTTTCTGATAAGGAGGCAATTTTATCCAACAAGCGTTCTATCCAGTAGGCACCATCACCGAAATTTGTATAATGACATTCATTTGTTGGCATTGAATCGCTTTGATCTTCAGCATACTGAGATGGAGGACTGGAACACTGACTCTTTGTTGAATCTAGAACGTCGGAAAATTAATGTGTAAGAGTGAAATAAGAAAACTAAATAGTTGAAGTATTTATATTAAGAATATCGGGTAATTTCTACTTGGTATCATTCCGTATCGGAGAGGTCTAGCACAGCGTAAGTACAGACAGAAAATAATAAGCTGTATAGGGAGGGAGTCAATCTAACTTAAATCTGTCATTCCAAGCAATATAACACTTAAGAGACACGCATATAATGTATTACGTACAACTACTCGCCTGTCATAAAGACAAAACAACAAACACTGTTTGGATAAGTCGAATTCATTTAACTAATGAGCTCTGAATTCTTGCGCATACGTAACAGATTCAAATTTCGCTTACACTACGATTTTTAGCGATAAATTTAAGTGTTTTGATTCAGTTCAATTGGTTATAAACATACTTGGGCAGTTGAATGCTTCGTCTGCATAAGAACTGATTTCTTAGATGATTCCATTCAATACCTTAAAATCATACATGATTAATAAGCAAGTTTCAGAATTTTTCAAACTAAAAATGTTTGCTTCAGTGTTACGTGCCAAAGAGTGAAATGTTCTCTACATAATTTGTTAGCTGATATAGGGTCAGGCTGGAAAAGAGCTAGCGGCGGTCAAACGAAAACATGGCACCAGTCAATGAAATCTACAACAGTTAGTCTAAGCCACGTAGGAAGATGTAGACTTCCTGGTTCGGGTCCTCGAGACGGTAAAAACCAATGGTTGGAAACAATTGGTGACATGGCTCAAAATCGTTCTCAATGGCTAGTGCAGATGCATCCACTCCTTGTGACTTATGATTTCCAATTAGACTGTTTTGTTCTTCGTTATTACTATTCCTTTGTCTCACACCTCTGTTTACTGTCTCTAATATGCATTTCTCCAACTTTCTTCTTTTCTTTTGTGTGCTGCATGGAGTGTGGCGACTTGAACTGCCGCACATATGTGCATAGTTCTATGTCGAAAACCTACCGACCGACCGACATAATTTGTTTATGAGATGAAGTTGTTAGTACTTTAGTGGAATTTTCCGACACCGGAAAACACAATGCAGCTTCTTTTCAGAACATCTACAAATGTTAATTCAACAGACTGTGACCGATTTTTGTTATAATAACACAACCCAATCTCAAAGGATAATGTGTACAAAGTGGAATGGAAAACAGGCGAAAATGAATAATTAGTCTAGCAATGTCTAGTTGGTTAAAAAAAATAAGTGTACTTTCGCAGCACTGCTGGCTGTTTAGTACTTCTTATCATTGAACAAAAGAGATGACATACGAATACTTTGCATAGTATCAGTTAGAAGTTCGCTTTAGAACACAGTCTAGGCTAGTCAAGTTTTGAAACTTGATCTTAGAATAATATATCGGTAATTCGTTTTTTAAAAGGAGTAACATTAACTTCTGTTGTCGCATTTTGCTTGCACTATCAATTGCTCTTATGATATGCAAACTTAAACGCACAACAACATATATCTATTATTACATGACTTGTGGAAAGGTTGATTAAAATGGACTGTGACAATATTTCAGCCAGCAGTCTTCAGGCAATCGATCAATGCTTTAGCATTTGTGCACGACAATTATAACAATCAGATATATACAGATAACCTTGAGGAAACTCATTTTCCCAGAGTTATTTCATTGCTAAACTCAATGACCACACCAGTGGTGTATTCAAAACTAACCAAGTAAATTTTTACAGTTAACAAATTGAGTAAGCAGGTGAATCAATAAAACTTTGTAATTTAAGAGGATAACATAAAGCATGAAATGCATAATAGGACCACCAATGATTTTTTTTGCGAATTACTGTTAAACAATCAATACCGGGCATATTGATTGCTGCAAAGAATCTTCCCTGATGACTTTTTCTGACGCACTTTTATCAAATCACTCACAGAGTTCAGACTACGATGTCTTCAAGTAGTAAGAATCAGTTGAATTAGGAATAGGTAAACTTCAACCAAAGCTAAAAAGCTGTGAACCTAGGCTAACAAAACGTGTTCCCTTTAAAAAGCAATGTATGTCGTAGCATATTCATGTGAGAAACAAAAATTTCAGTAACTACCAGAACAAAAGTGTATGTCACTGTATGCTATTAAATCCTACTGTGAAAACATTTTCAATACCCACCAGTGGTTGATTGATTCCTTTCCTCTGGAAGACAATACGCCGGTTTTGTTGATGCAAAATAACGTAATTCCGGTGGTAGACGAGCAATAACTGATGGGTTGAATTTAGCTGTATTAAAATTAGACGATGGGATATTACGATCATTAGAATTATCCGCTTCATTTGGCATTAGGACAGACATACAACGAGCAGCCAAAAAGTTACTACTACTTGTAGAAGTACTATGCTTTGAAAAATTGTGCAAAATTTCCTCCCAATTATTAGCTTGATTATGTCCAGTTAATAATAGATTATTGGCGTCTTCATTTAGGCCAGGGCCAGGTGTCATCATCATTACAGTCATAGGTGAGTCAATAACTGTATTTGGTTCTGTGAAAGATGATCCAGCAACAGCAATTTTCGGGATAGCTTCACCACCGCCAACAATACGACTCCAATAAAGACGAGCATGTGCTTTGATCAATAAAGAAATAAGACTATCCAAAATAACACTACAATGAAAAGTAACAATAATAACAAATAATAATTTAGGATAAGAAAATAAAAATTTCCATTTTTGTAAATACTAATAATTGAAATTGATAATCAAAGACAGTATTCACCAAAAATCAATCTATGATTACCATGAGGAACATTGATAACCTTTAAAAAGTGTTTCTTACACATGGTATTTATTTTATATTTTATTCTTTTACTTTTTAAGAATTGACTTGTAAGGATTAGAATTGTTTTTTTGAATTTGACCACGAATTGCTATCAGTTAGAGAACCATTGAAAACCAGCATGGAGTACTGGACAACTATTTCATCCTTGTTCGTGAACCATTGGCAGTACGCACTCACCGCCAGGTTTCGAACCCAGTACCTTCCGGTTTCAACGCAAGCTCGTATACCATTCCGCCACCGAGACCCGATTCAATGGCTAGTGCATGAATTCTAACTTCTACTAATTTGAGATTTTAGTGCGACTACGACCCAATGTCCTAACTGGATGGACCTTGCTGGTCACGACTTCTCACTAGAACTCCAGTGGAATATAGGACTTCAAAGCTAGGGTTTTGAAGTTTCAGAAGCGATTGCACTTATTTTTACAGGATGGGGTTGCTAGTCTCATTTCCAACCTTCCTTCTTCACCAGTCTTATTACCGAGTTAGTGAAGTTCAGGAGTGCGTCAGCCGGAGGTCGGACCCCTGACTACATGCGTGGTTGACGAGCATTCTACCTATGAACCACAAACGTGCACAGACAGAGTATACTAGTAAAAATATGGTAAGAAAATAAGAAATCAACAGATTGACATCAAGTCAGTGAATAAACAAAAAATCTACAACAGATGGAAGGGAAAAAACTTCTCTTTAAAAAAATGTATTAATCCTTAGTTTTGTTCTACAAGGTTAAGATAACCAAAGAGATGTAAAAAAGGGTAAGACTTATGATGCATAAATCATGTGCGCATATGAAGCAGTAAAATGTTTCACCACCTGTGGCTGTATATCACCCTCATTTACAAAGAAACGAGGAATCGAAGACTCGTTTATTATAATATATTGAACATCACGTGACCACTTTTGTCTAGAACAGCTAACGAAATTTAAACATAACCGAGTAGTACACTGACAGGCAGACACATATAAACAGGTAGCTTACATAGAAATATTTATCCAACTGTTGCGTATGATAGTGGCGCAACAACGAGGAAGCAAACAAAAACAAGAATAGTATTACACATAGATAGAGGGAACACCAGGTGGTGAAAATGTGCCATTTTTCGGCGGTAGACAATGGATACATCTGTCGTTCAGGTATCTATTCATAATCAATATCACTGAGGTCCTGCAGTCATTGATTTCTAAAATGAGGCAGTTGACATATTCCTGAGCACACTTGTCTGAACCCAATTATTGAAAAAGACCTCCCATGTCCCAGGCTAAGAGCAGCACTTATTGTGTGAGGGCTGATGATACTGCTCAGTTGCCTAAGCTGAAGTAGGCGGAGCAGAATCCGAATCCTGTCTGCGTCTGAATCTGTTTGTGTGTGTCTGTGTGATTTGAGTGCATGTGCGAGTGAGATTGTTGAGTGGGTGTGAGGGAATTGTGTCTGATTTGAAGACGTTAGATGAGTTGGCGATGTGTATGTGCATGTGGATGTTGATGCGTATGTGTATTTGTACTGGATGTGGATGTTGAGAGCGATACGGAGGTCTGTTTTGATGTTGAAGGCGATGTGATTAATGTGAAGGATGGCGTGACCATCGTCTTCCTTCGTATTTGCAGGCGGCTGGTTAAAAGTTGAATGCTTAAGTTAGTGAGTCACGTCCCTAAGTGCATTAATAAAAGTTCTGCCGGAGAAAATATTATTAATTCAAAGAATATTTAAAGCAGGACAGCATTGTCTAGAAGATAAACCTGTTATAAGTCTTACTTTGGTTGAACGTACCACTATAATAAAACTACGTATCGCAGAGAACATCTGTGCACCAAGTCACAAAATGATCAAAAGCGATAAAATACCGCGAAAAACAAGAAAGAGGTAACGCGAAAAGAAGATTAAGATATATGAAATTAAAACTAGAATAGAATAAAGACAAAAGATAAATATGTCAGCAAGAACATTAGATTTTGGACTATATCATCTAAAATTGTGTGCATCAGCGGTTCAGTGGTAACACACCCACCAATCACTCATGTGGTCTGGGGTTCGATGCCCGGCCGACGCACTACTAAGCCTCGCCAAGCCGGTAGTAAGGCCGATAAAGAAGGAAGGTTGGGCGTGGGGTTAGCACCCCATCTCGTAGAAATAAAACCAATGCTACTGAAATTTCAGAGCTCTAGATTGAAGCCATATGCTCCACTGGGAACGTAAAGGAATAAAAAAAATCACCTAAAATTAGTTTATTTCGACATTTTCAATGTTCAAAATATGCGTGCTGTAAAAAGTATGAACTCAAGAGTGAAATGTAAAGCATGAGAATACCTTTAATTAAAGTGGATATTAATTCAAACTTCAAAATCCAGTGTTCTATCTATAAAGGTAACAAGCTAAATGAAGGATATATCTTAACATAAGAATAAATGCAGTACACTCTAGTCTACACGGAGACGATGTGAGGCCAGAAAGCTAATAATGGACAAAGCGCTCGTAATTCACTGAAAGTCCTTCTGTTACCTAGTTACGAATCGTATATAATGTGAACAACATGCATGCAGAATCCAACAATCGAAATTATCACCCCTCTTTTAAAACTTACATATCTTGTTACTAATAACTATTAGATATTTGTTTTGATGACCTTTAACCTTTTAATTTCAACATCCTATACCGAAAACCGACTAACTAAAATAACAATTTGATTGGTAAAACATTTTTGATGCGAAAAACTATGTATCAGCATAGAGCCAGCCGATGATGACGAACTAATTGAAAAGGAATATATTTCTTCTCTGAGTCTGTTGTTTTTTCTTTAAAATAACCTTGATAAAACTTGACTAAGTATATCTTCATGGATTGGCCAAAGTGAACATTGAAAGGTGTGAGTAATACAATAACTGAGTAGATTAATTATTAGGGAAAGTTAACAAAAAATGAGCAAATATTACACCACAGGAACTAAACAGTAGCACAAAAAACGATAACTAACTTTTTACTGTCACTTTGTAACTCAGTATTAGGTAATACAGGTACGGTACTCATAGTGATATTTAAATCGTTATTCTCTTTATTAGGTAAACTAGCCAGCATTACTTGAGCACATGATACATTCGGCATATGACATCTTGAAACCATAAGCCAACAATTTAAATTATCTTGTATACTTGTACGCGGCTCATATGGACAATTAATTAAACTTGTATCCCAAAATTTGTTATGACGATTAACAGATGAAGGCATAGCTGAAGTGTACAGGGAATTTGATGTTATCGGACAAAGTGAATTACTCCAGGGTTGACGACACCATATATGCGGTGAACGATAACCACACATACGCCCACGTACTTTACCATAACCACGTGAATCATTAGTTAAATCACTTTCTTCATGATCATCTGAACTACCACCACCACCGCCGCCATCTCGACCAACACCACCACCATCATCATCCTCGTCGTCATAGTCATAATCAATTTGATCTAGTCTGTCAGAATCTGCATCCTCGATAATCTCCTCAAATGTTCCCTTATCCCAATCCATGATAACATCATCTGTGAATACTTTGTCGTGTGATTGAGATTTTTGAATGGATGATTGTGATTGTTGCAACTTTTCTGGTTTTTCTTGTTGCTCCATAGACTCCATGGGACTATTTCCACAATTACTGATGTTAAGTGATGTTGGTAAAATAGATCCAGGGAATTCTTGTGTCTCATTAAAAACCTTTAATGAAAAGAAATAAATAAGAAAACGCAATTATGTATAACAACCTATATCCGAATTTAGAAAGTAACAGACGACACATTGAGAAACCGGGGTACATTTCTAATAGGACTGAATCTTTACCAAATAGCATAACAGTTAAAACAAGCTCTAGAATGAAGCTAAGTTTGAAAAAAAATAATAATAAATACTGTTATATATAACGTCTTCCCTTATCAGACCTAAGAAAACCTCCAAAAATGTGTATTCACCTTAAGTCGATTTGTGACGCACTACAGCTAACTTCAATACACAGGATGTCAGTGAAATGCACCAAACACGACTGAGACTGATTATTATTATTATTATTATTATATTATTGTTCCCTCGGGTTCCTAGTGGAAAATAGGGCTTCAACTGCACGTCTCCACTTGCTTCTGTCTTCTGCTGTACTTTTCACCCGCATCCATGTTAGTCCATACTGTTTCAACTCCTCTTCACACGATCTCCTCCATGTCACCCTTGGACGTCCCACTCGCCGCTTCCCTTTCGGGTTCCACTCGAGGGCCTGGCGCGCGATGTCACCCAGTGGCCTCCTCAGCGAGTATCCCATCCGTCTCCACTTTCTCCTGCATATTTGTTGAGCGATTGGTTTTTGTTTTATTTGTCCCGATAGTTTCTTGTTGGTGATTCTTCCTGACCATCTGATCTTCAGTATAGAACGAAGACAGTTGTTGATAAAGGTCTGCAACAGGCTGTTGGAAAAATTCTTGGTGACGCGCCAAGTTTCTGGTTCGTATAGAAGAACTGACTTGACGTCGTTTGTATTGAAAATCCGAATTTTGTTGTTGAGTGTTGCTGAGTGACGAAGAATTCCAGATTGGTTTCAGGTTGATGAATGTGTTTCTCGCCCTCCCGATTCTCGATTTGACATCTTCGTCTATTCCTTCTGTATTGTAGACAATGCTCCTTAGATAAGTGAATGAAGTAACCTCTTTCAAATCCCTCCCGTTGATGGTGATTGGCGCTGAATGTTGCTGCTGTTGTTGTTGTTGTTGGTTGGTTATTTTCATAACCTCCGTCTTGTCTATGTTCACCTGCAGTCCTGTCTTTGCTGCTTCTCCGACCAGTTTGTCGGTTTTCGCTTGTAAGTCTTCGATTTTGTGTGTGTGTGAGACTGATTATATTTCGTTTATTAAAGTTGTAAAAACAAATAAGATGAAAATAAGGTTTAGAACATAAATGACGAAGAAGGCAGTAAAACGGTAAAAAGAGATAGGTTGCCACACTTTAAAGGTGCAGATTATATATATATATATGCACCAAAATGCCTAACGAAAAGTTGGTGGAGAGCAAGGCGTGAGAAAACTTGAGATACTGTTATGCTAACTGAAGATTTCATCCGTTGCCCTGTAGGAAAAACCGATTCAGTTTAAACTTCCTTACAAATTTCAAAAAAGCAGTCATAGTTCCCATACACTACACTTATCTCACCATGTGCTCGTAAGGGCACATTACGGAAAGGTTTCATACTGCAATGAAATAGTTGGTAAGTACTTTCTGTATGAATGTAATCGATATAATACTTCAACAATATATACCACGACTATGTCTACCGTTTATTCGAAGTATGCAATGAACGAAACGCAAAGAATAATAAAATTGCATAATATAGAGCTTTCGAATATTCCTTATAAACAGTCAGTTCAATTAATCGGAATGATTGCAACGACCTTCATGTCAGTGATTCGTTATTCATAAAAACTGAAATACACTACCTTGAAGGAATAACTTCTCTTGCATTCAACCAGATAAGTGTTACGCATATCTAGCCATCGCTGTTCATGATGGGAACACACCATCACCCATTAGGAATGCAGCCGCATCCGAAACGCGCATGCCACCAGAGAAATAACATCATGGATTCCTTTTGATTATTTTCCTAGTCAAAACCATGTTTGCCTATTGTAGATTATTCCATTTATTTCCTCCTTCATCACTACATCATGTAGAAACATGAAACCGATATACTTCTGTGTAAAGCTCTACACTGATACATCGTTCCAGTCATCAGAAATATGCAAGAAGCACTTATGTGAAATAATGAACATTTCGATTACAAGGAATAATGCACAGAAAAATCACCTACCGCGCTAAGGCTTTCATTTTGAAAGATATTTTAGTCAAAACAAAAAAATGTTCACGTCTACTTAAGAAATGTAAAATAAATTATGCATTTACAATAAAAAAAACTAATGAGATACTTACCTGCGTACAAGCTTTCCTGTTATTTGTTGGTAAACGACATGGCGTATCCAAGGCACGGTCGATTAAGTGAATAATCATTGCCAAACTTTCTTCGGTTACAAGTGGATCACCATACACGAACTAACAATATAATGAAGAAGAGAAAATATATAGAAACAAAAGCATTATAGGTAAGGTTTGTATAAGCTTAAGATATTTCTATAATTAATAAACTAATTAGTACTACAGTAGAACGAATTTTCTACGATTCGAGAGAACACCTGTCCATGTATTGTTCCATACTACTTGTTTGGCGCATTTCGTGGTGCACACATACACTACATCAAGTCCCAATGTGAATAATAATGATGATAATAAAAAATAATTTCTAAAAATGTCAACACAACGGGTAATAAACTTACAAGACTTAATTGGGTAAATAGTATGTAGTGTAAGTGACGACTGTGCAATACATGATCTAGACCACGAAAATCTGTTGGCAGTTGTTTCGGTGTACGGAATGGTGGCCATAGAGACGATACATTTGTAACACCATGACGCTGACGGCAACTAAAGCAATGAAAGATAAATGACCATATGATTATACTTTAATAATGTATAAAAACTTAATATTGAAAATAAGCGAAGTAATTAAAGAGTGTTAGTTTGTTCAGTCAATCTTTCACAAGCGGTTTCACGAAATTGAATGAAGCCAGAAGTTGTAGTAACCTCGCCTAGATTACTAGCTCACTAGTTTTCTAGCCGCTCCCAAGCCCGGATAAAGAGGGAGGGTTGGGGCGTGGTGCTAGCAACTCCACCCCCAAAACTTAACCGAATCGCTACAGAAACTTCAACGCACAAATATATTAAAAATTCAAAAATATAAACTATAAGCTTATTTTTCGCTGGAATCGGGGAAGTGAAATGACGCAGGCTGGTGAAAGCCTTCAGGAAGCCAGTCAGCCGATGTGCCTTCTTTCGATGAAAGCAAAAATAAGGATGGGGACGTGGAATATTCGTACAATGTACGAAGATGGAAAGGCTGCCCAGGTAGCCACAGAAATGAGAAGATATAAAATAGAAGTGTTGAGAATCTGCGAGAGCAGGTGGAACGGGTGGGGAAGGAGCCAACTACCAACTGCAGAGACAATAATGTACTCCGGTCTCCCAGATGGATGGGACACTCGCTGAGGAGGCCGCTGGGTGACATCGCGCGTCAGGCCCTCGAGTGGAACCCGAAAGGAAAGCGGCGAGTGGTTCGTCGGTGCAAGGGTGACATGGAGGAGATCGTGTGAAGAGGAGTTGAAACAGTATGGACTAACATGGATGCAGGTGAAAAGTACAGCAGAAGACAGAAACAAGTGGAGACGTGCAGTTGAAGCCCTATTTTCCACTAGGAACCCAAGGGAACAATAATAATATAATAATAGAAGTTGTAGTAAAGATATTACGCTAACATTAAAGGATTTCAGTGAAATATTAAGCATTATTTTCAGACGCAATATAATGTCGACAGCCAAATAACTATCTCAAGGAATTGGATAGAATAGAACGCTGATGTTGATGACAGAATTCTTGACTATCTCGTGATGAAAAATAACAAATATGAGCCAACCAAACCACAGTGGTTACAGACAGTTTCACTACCATGAGTCATAAGTGGACGATGCAATTTGAACCGTTTTTCGAAAAGAATCACATGCGAATTTGTCATAGACAGCTGATAACTCTTGTGACTGTTAGGTTTAAAGTCATAATGGAGGTGTGACTAATTCATACTGTAGACAATCTGCTTTAGAGGCAATAAACCCTGAATCATTTAAACTTAGTGCTGCGATGACTTTCAATAAAAGCATGTATCTGCTAACTTAGATTTAACGATCCAATACTCAGGTGTGAAGTCGAAAACGTAAATGCTAAGCTACTCAAACACATATATGTAATGCAGATGAATGTCAGCACTCAAAACATTGAGATTATTAAAAACACAATACAAAATTAAACTTATAATACTAGTGTTAACGAAAAAAAATCACTTACTGTTCTCGATATTTCTCCATAGCTAAAGCTGATTCCCTTCGACTATTTACTCGAAGCATGTGAAAAATTGGATCGAAATCAGTATGCCATAAACTAGGCCGTAGAAAATAATGTCCACTTATAAGGCTACCAGAATTTTCGTCACATGAAGGTGCAGCATAATTAGCTACCTGAATAGTACATGTTTTTGTAAGAAGTAAAAAAATAGAAAAAAAACATAATCAAATAATGAGTACATGCACTTAGAGAGACCATGAAATTTAATCTTAGTATAGTTTGACTGTAAATAATGGGTAACGCGATCCCAAAAGACAAACTTTCACACACACACACAGTAGGCCCACATAATGATAAGTTGTGCATAATAAACTAATTGCTAGAGTGAGAAACGTTGCCACATTATCTCATTAGAGAAAACATAGTGTGGCGTGTGCTACTGATAAGATTTATCAGTAGTATATAAAGAGACATTCGTCGGTATAAAAACATCAAATAGCAGGGAGATAGATTTGATGTCAGAGAAAGCAAATGATACAGCCTTGCGGAGATACATGGGAGACGTGAAAGGAATACAAAGAAACACAGTATGAAGGCGAGAAGTAGCACAACACGGAAGATCTGTGCAAATGATGCATTGAAGATAAAGTGTACATAATTTTGCTGTATAAAGATACCATATTGCAAATAAACATTCCTTTACCAAGTCTCTCGTCTTCTACCGTCACAACAGGACACCCACAAATTTTTCCACCATATATTTATTCAAATGCTTTATTTTGAAGCACTAAGTATCGTTTAAATAAATCAAGAACAAAGATGCTTACAAGATGAAAACAAGCTCATTGTATTTCATGACTTTGCGTAAGCTCTTGACGACGTAAGTACCCAAACAATTAGGCTTTCTAATTTACTCATTTGTCTGTCTACGTAATAATTTACATTTGCTTACTGTGTCTTTATCTTTTCACTCTCTTCATCTCCATTTAACTCTTGAACTCACCATTACACTATGTAAAAATAAACTTTAGTTGGTCGACTACTTCGATATTAATTGTTTAGTATTCAATACCGCTGTGTTAAAAATTATTATACGCCCGTTGAGTTGGAGTAGTTTTACACTTATTGATAAAATAACCTCTGATTTTTTTTCTTAGTTTCAGCAGCTGAAGCAAATAAGCCTTTTTATACTGAGAATGTCTTCGTTCTTGCCTTGTTTAAATTAAACAGGGGAATGCAATATGTCTCGTGTTTAAGCTTCATTCCATCTACAGTATTATTATTATTGTTTCCTTCAATTCCTAGAGGAACATAGGGCTTCAGCCGTGCGTCTCCTTGGTTGTTTTAAGTCTTCACCTGGCTCCACGTCTCCCCACACGTTTTCATCTCCTCTTCACATGACCTCCTCCAAGTCACCCTCGCATTGACGACCAACTCGCCGCTTCCCTTTCGGGTTCCACTCGAGTAATGGCTTGTCTAGTGATGTCACTTGATGGTTTCCTCAGAGTATGGTCAATCCATCTCCATTTCTTCCTGCCTATTTCTTTCACAATCGGTTCCTGGTTGGTTCGCTCATTGCCAGAGATCCCTGTTGCTGATCTTTTCTGGCCGACCATCTGATCTTGAGTCGTGTTGAGCGAAGACAACTGTTAATGAAGGTCTGTAGTTTGTTTGAGGTGCTCTTCATGACGCGTCGAGTCTCTGATCGTATAGTAGCACTGACTGACTTCACATTGGAGTTGAAAATCCGGATCTTATTTTCACTTTCATGCTGAGTGTTGTTGACCTCCACACAGACTTGAGAGTAGTGAAAGCTTGTCTTGCTTTTCCGATTCTTGCTTTGATATCCTCGTCAGTTCCGTTGCCTGTAGTTGAAACGATGCTTCCCAGGTAGGCAGGTAAAGGAGGTTGTTTCTTTCAGGTTCCTCCCATTTATGCTGATTGTTGTCAGTTGTTGTTGTTGCTGTTGGTGGTGTTGCCCAGGAATCTTCATCACCTCTGTTTTCTCTATGTTCACCTGAAGTCCTATCTTTGATGCTTCTTATGCTAGCTTGTTGCTTTTCGCTTGCATATCTTCCAGTTTGTGGGAAATCAGACATATATCATCGGCGAAGTCCAGATCCTCCAAGTTTTTTGTGTGGGTCCATTTTATGCCTGTTTCCTCATTTCCCACTGTTTGTCGCATTATCCAATCTACTGCAATCAGGAAAATCATTGGCGATAGTAGGCAGCCTTGTCTTACTCCTGTCCTCACTTCTACAGTATTATAAACTCATAAACAGTCAACTTCCCCATCCTGGCTGCTTGTATCTGAAGCTTCATGAAGTCTTCTGAGCAATACTGACAATACTACTCACTTATATCGTACATTTTATCTCATGTATTTTCTCGTCTCAGTATCTTTGAGTTTTTACGACTTAGTAACAGAATTACTCTCATCCACACAGCTTTCACCTTGAGACAACTTTCACCTCTATGTGGTAATTGGGACGATATAATTGGATACAACATATTTTAGCATGTAATTGATGATAATTTGGTAGGGCTGTGGAGGCGTTCAAACCAGCAGTGAGTCAGGCAGTTTTCGAGTCAATGATTTGAAACCAACTGCAATCCAAGTCATTGTATTACCATCAGTCATCATCCTTACATCATTATCAGTCTACTAAATAAAAACTCTGATTATCTGCTATAGTTTGGTTTGTAAGGGTTTGTTATGTTTTTACGAGTTGATCACGGACTGATATCAGTTAGAGAACCATTGAAAATCAGGGAGTACTGGACAGCTGCTGTTTCATCCTAGTCTGGGAATCATCGGCAGTACGCACCCACTGGGACATCCATCACACACGTGACATCTAATTGGACCTCACTGGTCACGACTGCTCACTAGGACTCCAGGAAACTCCATCCTGTAGCAAGTCACTAGCGAGCATCAGATTAATTTTCTATAGTTTGGTTTGTCCCACCAACGACAATGGTTGGGGTCGCGCTAAATCACGAATTTGTAGAAGTTAGAATTCATGAGCCATTGAATCGGGTCCCAGTGGGTGCGTACTGCCGATGGTTCCCGACTAGGATGAAACAGAAGCTGCTCAGTACTCCCTGGTTTTCAATGGTTCTCTATCTGATTATCTCACCAACAATTATAGTGCATACATGACTTCTTTTCTCGCTAACTAAAATTTACCAATACACTTCAGTAGTACACGAGGAAGGCTATAGCACAGAATAATAACAACTCCTTAGACGCCTATTATGTGAATCTTAGATAGCTGTGATTAGAACAGTTCAACCTTCAAATAGAAACAATATCAACAAAGCAAAACAAAAAAACCTACTTTTTTCAATATATTATCCAAATTATCTGATGTACTAGTTATTCCACAGCGTTCAGGAATAAGAATTGAAAGATCGCTGCGTTTTCGTGGCTCCGGAGCCAATACAGAAATAAGCTCTTTACGCAGTAATTCTTCCTGAGATAATCCTAAAGGGTAAAACACCAAAACAATTCAATACGTTTGAGTTGCCAAGAGTTATACAGAAATGAATGTAGTCGTATATATATGAACACTTCAAATTTCAGACAGTGTAGAACATTCCATCTTAAATCAAACAATAAATATATGCTGTTCATTAATTGAACGGTTTACTCACTGACTGACCACTGTAGCACTTTGTACAAGTGTATGCGTTCATGTTGCAACACTTTAGAAAAGCACATATATAAGTACGGAAAAGATCAATGGACGAAAGTATACATGAAAGGTGAACAGTTAGATGAAGATTAGTGAGCAATTTTTAGAATCTGGTTGTGAATTATTACCATTCTCTTGGGTTCCGAGTGCAACATAGGGCTTCAGAAGAACATCTCCATTTCGTCCTATTCTCTGCAGTCCTCCTCCTTTTTATCCTCACCACTTCTGTCTTCTCTGTGTTCACTTGAAGTTCTGTCGTCGCTGCCTGTCTCTTCTGCCAACTTGTTGGTTTTCGCCTGTAAGACTTCAAGTTTTCGTGACATTAGGCATAAATTATCCATGAAGTTCAGATCTTCTAGAGTCTTCTTATCGATTCAAAGTATTTCTGTCTTCCCGCTACCCACGGCCTACCACATGACCCAATCCCCCATATGTAACATTGTCACATATAGCTGTTGAATGAGATCGATAAAGGTTGTGAATGCATATGTGTTATTGGATGAATTCGAACCAGGGGTCAACAGCAGTCTCTCAACACTGATTTTTAAATTTCTGAGGATTAGATTCATAAGACTTTCAATTTCTAAATGACTAGTCCAATGATTGGATAGTAACGTGCTCACCTTTAAATATGACAGTCCTCAACCAAACATTGTTTGTACGATTCAGAGGAACCACTGATAAAAAATCACACTTAATAAGTATTTAATGGTACTCGAAATTCACTAATTCTCCACAGTTGGTGTTGGTTCATGAAGAAATTTTTAGATGTAACCAAAAATAATGTTCATAACTTTGAAGAAATTAATGTTTCATTAGAAGACCAGAAGCAACAACAGGTTGGATAATACCATTAAATCGCTTACACTGATCTGATTCCAGTGGTAGTGACTGGACTGATCGAAAATGTCAATTCCCCTACAACTACAGCATACAAAACAACGCTATGTATTCAACACAATTTCTAACATACATCTGTATATTATTCAGTCGACTGAAGTGATTTTCAAATCATTTAGCTGGGTAAACAACGTAAGGACATAAAATATCACTTAACAAAAGTCATTATTGATTAATCACTAACCTAGATTATTACGTAAATCCAATATCCAACAAAGATTTGTTAACCATGCTTCTAAAGCCATCGGTTTGCGATCAAGATTTTTCGGTTCAGGTGGCATAATTAAACTCAACAGTTCATTATGAAAGCATATACCACGTAGTAATTTTGTTTGGTCGACTAAAGCATTTAGAAAATATGCCGGTGGCAATAAAGCTGTACAAACCTGTTCAACAACAAATTTAAAAAAAAAACAATCATTAAGGATAGGAAACAATAGTATATCTAGTTGAAATTATGATAATGAGTTATTTGATAGAATGCAGGACAAAGAAGTTAATTAACTGTAGCCACCTGCATTAAATTTCAAGTCACCTCGGTATTTTCAGTATAAGTGATATTTAACAACAGTTTCGTATCTATATACCACCAATTGAAATCTAATAACCTCTTACTTGTTTATTATTGTTGTAATAGGTTGAAATTTACTATCAATAAAAACCTGAATGACTGACTAACTGGTTTCAAAGTAGAACTTTGCACAGATGTGCACCTGTTCGAGTTGCCACACTCCTTCCATGTATCACACAAAGCAAGAGAAGAGAGTAAACAGAGATTCAAAAGACAGATAATAAACAGAAGTGTGAGGAAAAAAGAAGAGTTGAGGGGAACAATAGAGTTTTGCTGGATATAACAGATCACAACGAGTCAATGCATCTGCACCAGAGACAATAAACAGGAATATGAGGCAAAAAGAATAGTGATATGGAAAGACAAGATAGTTTTATTGGATATAATAAGTCACAAGGAGTGGATGCATCTGCACCAACCATTGAGAACGATTTTAAGCCATATCACCAATTGTCGCCAGCCACTGGTATTTACCATCCCGACTACCACAACCAACCAGCCACTCTTAACCTCCCTATATGGCTGGCCGGATTAAACTAACTGTTGAGGATTTCATCGACTGATGAAACTATGTGTTCGTTTGATCACCACTAGCTAACTATTTTCCAACCTTATCCATCCTATGTCAGCTAAAAATTGCCCATTGTCGAGGAAGGCGATCGATGACTAGGGATGCATACGTAACACATGCCCTGACCATCTCACTCAATCGATGTAACTTCACAACCTCGTCGATTGATTCCCCCTCCCATCTACCCAGTACTCAACCGACGCCTAACCTCAATATTGCTCACCCTATTATACCACTTAACACGGGAGAAGGGACCTAGCCTGGTTTCTCATGTTATCCACTCTCAATGGCCATAAAGGAGGATGGAGCGAACTACTGAGTAGTACACACGCCCTTTGGTCGATAGCCAGCCGGATGTCATGTCTACGCCAGAGATGGAGTAAACTGGCATATGCGAAACGAGCCTTCTGTATCCGTGCTGAGATTTCATCGGCGATCAACCCACTGGCACTGGCTGATGCAACTTCCCAAATGAGCGAAGTGGTCAACACGCTCCACTAACCAATTCACTCCCTATCTCTAAGCTAGGAGAAGTCGATGTAGTCCAGTCCTGTAGCATCATCTTACATTTGACAAAGGGAGCGAATCGTATGCCAAACATTCGAAGAAACCTGGATAGTTCTCATTAAAACAATATTCAGCGTCAATATTAACCATTTTTATATTGATTATAATAGAATCGTAAACTACTTTTCTTATCATGATGGAATAGTAAAAGGACGCACTGTGAACTCGTTTACCACTTTGTCTACACGTTACTCTAGAAATCTTTTTTAAGCAACAGACAATTAGATTTATCAAGTGGTGAATCAATCCTCCACGACTATAGTACGATGATAGCAAGGTGGATGCTACACTTTGAACAAATAATGAGATTATCAAATTTAACTACTCTGGGTCATACTTTTAAGTATGGTACACAAAACACATCCAAAACACCAGTGTTTGCATCACACATATTAAAAATATTCAGTAATCCTAAAACATTTTCTGTTGAATACAGTGAGTGATTTTTATATATTGGGGATCGAACAAATGATCTTTGGGCATAGCAGTAATATTGAAGAAATTGTAAGTGCAGTCAAGAGTAGTAGTTCACATTTAGCAAGGGTGGAAAATAAATTCAGAAAATTCTCATTTTATTGCCGGTATATGGATGACGCCTTTATTCTTTGTGATAATGAATCGGATATGAGTACAATAGTAACTCAATCCAATGAACTAAATTCTGTTATGAAATTCACTTACGAACAGGAATCCCAAAGTAGAATTGCCTTTCAAGAGGTCCTACTTACAAGAAAACCAGATGGTAGGATAAAGAGAAGTTTGCATAGGAAAAGCACATGGACAGGACAATGTACACATTTTTGTATAGCTTTGTTCCTCTCCAGTATAAAGGAAATTTAGTAAGGACCCTCAGATACAGGGTTAGAGATATATGCTCAGAAGAGGCAACTGAAGATGAACTAAGGATTGTATATGGCACCCTAATTGAAAATAACTATCCAGAGAAATTCATCAAGAAATAAATGACCAGGAAAGCAGAAAAGGACTATTCTTCATCTGCAAATAATAAGCCTTTATACAAACGACTGCAATTCAAGGGTGACGCAACTAGTGGAATAATTATTAACAAATTAAGAAAATCTATCCAAAGAACTTTTATTGCTGGTAAGCTACAAGTCATATTCTCTACTCGACCGATGGTGATTCCTCGACTGAAAGATGAAGTACCTAGAATAGTCACTTCCAATTGTATCTACCAATTCAACTGCGCTTGTGGAGAGAGTTATATTGGCCGTTGCTCGGGAATATCTACCAGTGTGGCTAAGTAAAGGTGTAGTTAAAACCATCAACAGTTCGATATTAGACCACCTGGTCCAAACCGGCCACAAAGCCAGCATTGAGGAATCCTTCTCTATCATCGACCGGGTACCAAATAAATTGACAAGAACATCGAGGTACTGCATGCTCCAAACAGCAGAGTCTATCGTGATTCGCCTTAAACAACCGGTACTCTGTGTGCGAAAGAAGCAAGTCCAGACACTCCTACTGCCCTGGCTGGCCTTCAGTGGAGACTATAATTTCATGAATTTGTATTATTATCTTTCCTAATTTTTCTGATATTCAGTGTATTGTTATGTTGATGCTGTTGAACTGTAATCTATTGATATTATTGATTCGATGTTATTTAAACAGCATTAATGTTGTTAATAACACTAATTCATTCACTATTATGTATATATAACTGCAGAACGTAATGATGAAGTTATCGAAAAGAATATTCTTTGTTCAGCAACCATTCTTTTGAAAAATTTAGAGAAATAAATAAGTTAAAACTTAACACCACAATATAACAAGTTCCAAGGGGCTTGGTATAGACACGTCACTGGTTTCGTCCAATCAAAACTGTCTAAGCAATAGTTTTTTCTTGAAAAGTCGACTCACTTACTGGATGACATCAGTACGAAAGGGAGAAAGACCAAGAAAAACACGAGTGGTTCCGTACAACACAGGATTGCTTTGCAAATTCAGTGCAATTTTTACAATTAATATCTGAATGCTCCTAATAGAACAGCCTTTTGCTTGTCTCCTGACTGTCCTTAAAGTACTCTCTTGTTTCTTTCTTCAGAATCTCCACAAGCTGGATGTAAGTTTTGATCAATTTTCCAGGTGAACCTGTGCAACATACTACTTCTGCGTAATTTTATGAGTGTCTGACACTCCAGAAAAAACAGTGGCATTCAACCAGACAGTGACTGGAAGAAAACTTCACTTCGAGGTAGTCAATTTTGAAAATGACCGATGATCGATAAATATATATATTTATGTATATATATATGAATTTTATTTACTTACGTTCCCAGTGGAACACACGGCTTCAAGCTAAAGGCTTGGAGTTTCGATAGCAATGGTGTTTATTTTTTACGGATGGGGTTGCTAGCCTCATGCCCAAGCTTCCCTCTTTACCAGTCTTAATACTGGCTTAGCGGGGTAAAGAGGTGTGTCGGCCGGGGATCGAACCACGGACCACATGCTTGGTTGGTGAGCGTTCTACCGCTGTCACCGACGCCTATATATATATATATATTATACATATATATATATATAATAATCTGCTGAATTTGCTGTTCTTGTTTTTTGTTCGAAATTATGAAATGAAATTTGTACATGAAATATGAGCTTACTTGTAAGGCAAATATGTCCAAATCAATAGATGAATAACAAAACTGACTTTGCATATAATGCGCAACTGACTGTCTGACACCTTGCCCATTACGGATCCAATAGCCGATAAGGACTTCATGACAACCTAACTATATAGATTGACAAAAGTGGGATATAATGTAAATGTAATAACAAGAAAGGAAAGAAATAATATTTTATTGAAAACCAACCAGTTGTAATGCACTTGCTTAATGAATAGCTAAAACAACTTAAATAAAGCAGATAAACTACCACGCATCATATAAGAATGACTGAAATTGCAGCTAAAGATTAACCCCTTGTTGATTGCTTCAAAGACTGCCTAAATTATCTTTGAAAATTGAATAATTAGTCATTTTGTTAAGGTACACAAATCTATACTTTAAAAAAGTCAATTATTAGTTGAAATCAACTGGAGATACCGTGTTATTCAAATAGCACTAGTTACGGAATTCACAAAAGTACACACCTAATCACAACTACTACCATGTATCACTAGTTTTCAAAGTGAAATCACCTTTAAATTATCATAATCATTGTGTAAGATCATCAGTAGGATACTTCTTATAGTTTTTTAATTACGAAAATAGTATATTTAACCGACACAAGATGCGACGCATTGAAACAATGTACTATTGTTCAATATTAGCCTCCTTATTAGATAGAATTCACAGTACAAAGTCATTTTTGATATCTGCTTTTCTTAATCTTAAGGCATTTTCGTTGGCTTTGGTTATAAAAGCATTAAAATATTTTAGCATCTGTGTTGAATCAAAAGCATAATGTTGTTTGAATAAAAGAAGCGCGTCACTGAAAGAAAGCTCACACATCTAGACTATACGTACCAACTGAAGATATAACATAACACATACGCTGACATATCATATTTACGCAATCTTTGAATTTTAATTTAAGAGTAGCTCTGGCAACATCAATATTTAGAATCTTAATAGGTACATATATATTCAGGAATGCATAGTCCTAAGACATTTAACCCTGGCCTCTAAGTACGGTGAAATCTATGAAAATGATACTTTCATCAGCAGTACGCACCCATGACTCCATCAGGGGTCGAATCCAGTACCTTCAGGTTACCACACGAACTCGTCGAACATTCAGCCACTGAAGAGTCCCAAATTAGGGCAAAACAGGTGTCCAGTACTCCCTGGTTCTCTAAATGACGTCAATTTGTGATCAAACTTGAAACCAATCAATCAAATCCTTAGAAACTAACACTTGGAACCGAAACTGCTGAAATCACAGGATATGTAGAACTCGCTTAAATCAAATAATAAACTGTATGACAGACGCAAATTCAATTTCATTATAAATAATATAATAATATGAAAATAATGAAGTGTAACTAACCAATTAAAACGCACAAGCGATAGAGTCTAACGCAGTAGACTACAAGAGAACCACTTACATTCCAATTACTTCCAAGTTACATAAGTACTAAACAATCGTTGTGTCCCTTATATGTTTCCACTTAAACTTACATATATAAACCTAATGAAGGTGACAAAGAGTCACAGTTTCACTAACAAAGCACATAAACTAACTGTATATAAAATGTGCAGTCAATGAAAATAATTAGTAGATAGTATTAGCCAAACACATTAAGGGGGTGCTATAGGTAATTGCAAAGGAAAAAAAAGAAGACAAGTAGGCATGTAAAAAATATATTTTTGTTATTATGTCTTTTCTAACGAAACAAATATGCATATGGAAACTCACCAAAACATTCACTAAATGTTCCATAAAACGTTTTAATAAACGTGGTTTAGGCAGAAGATATTCCGCCAACAATTGTCTTACATTAACACCATGTTGCATAACAGACAGATGAAGAAAACACGAAACATGACGCATCAATGGTAAATGCAAACTTAATGCTGAACGTGCTGGACGTGTTTCGGGTACAGTTGGAGAAATTAATCGACCAAGATTATTTAATAAATCAGCTAAACTTGATAGACAAGCTTTAGTATACAGTAAACAATGTTCACGTTCAGACTGAAAATTAGAAAAGAAATAGCAGATAGATAAACAGGTTAGAGGAAATCATATGTAATAGATAGAAAATATGGTTTATATTGGGAAAATAAAACTATGAAATGTAAAACTATCACAAGTAGAAGTAAAAATTTCAATCGTATAAATAAAGTGAAATTTTTAATGCATGATAACGTTACAGAGCTAGGACGCACTAACCATTGGAATAGTGAGAAGTAATTCTATGAGTTGGCCACTTCACCTACCCTATAAGTTGTATCAGTCAACATGGACTAGTTAATGCAGAAATATGAGTGTGGATACAAAAGGCTCGTTTGACATTCGTCCATTTGTGTCATTTTCAGTGCCAGTGACAAGTCCAGGATACGAACAAAGAACTTATTTAATCTGCAGTGGTTTGCTTAATCATATGTCAAAAACTGTAAAACATGACCTATGAATATAGATATCTCCACAATATTGTTCGTGGAAGGTGGAACGCCACCGTAAGGCATTAAATTAGAGATTGAAACAGTATACCCTCATCACACGTACTGAGCCATTCTTTTCATTAATAAACAATTATGAGATAAAGATTGGAATAGAGTTAAGGTGGTCACATCAAAACAATAGGTCTGACTGTTGATCTGGATCACCTATCTGGATAAGTTGACTGCTACCTAGGGAACCTTGAGGTACTAAGAATTATTAACTAGATACTCTTGGTGACATGACATTACAGTAGCCTAAACATATTTACTTACAGTCATTTAATTATTTAAAACAATAAATAAATTGTAAAAGTTAAATCTATTGAATTCACGGAGTTTCAGTAGGATTCATTAGCTTTAGCTATTAAGATGTATAAGCGAAGTTTGTGTTCACTAAAAATTTTTCATCATAATAAACTATCATTGACAAATTCACTTTCAAACCAAGATTAATGTAATATTAGTTGGATTTGCTTTACGCAACCCTTTAGGTCTACCTAGGCTCTAAGCGTTGCTGCATGACCGTGAGTATTCTATCATCAGACTTTGTGACATCTTCAGCACCCACTTCATTAAGAAGTGAGGCATATTTTCAAGTAGCATTGATATCTAGACATTACATTACTTATCTCTGTTCAGTTTTATAGTGAGAGGAGAAATTTTTAATTCGTAACCTTTCGGCGTTAATTTTTTACTGAGTGAAGGAGAAGAAATGATTGTCAGTGCGAATCAGTTAAAGACGTATTTCTTAATGTATTATAACTTGTCCAGATAAATTCTTACTTGTTTTCAACGACAATTTATAACTATTATATATTACTATTACTAATACAGACTTCTTTGTTTTTACACGACTCCTGTGTCTGATTTACTAAATAGTTTTATTATAACTACTACAACTGTTCAGTGCCCAGTGATTTTCATTAGTTCTCTAACTGAAGTCAATGTAGTCTACACAAACCCAACTTTTTTCACATTGCGAACTAACAGTTTACTAGCAGAGTAACATAAGTGGGTAGAAATCCAAACAATTTTAATTGTCAATTTTACGCACTCTCTTTACCTTCTGTTAATACCTCCGAAAGACTTGTCGATTATCCCTTTCATTTTGCTGCAGTTGATTTGCTGTGATGCTTGTGGCATATTTATGTTTGTCTTACTACATACGGTGTATATAACAAAGTATATAGAGTATTCAGCAGACAAAGTACACTTAAACTTCATGAGTGCAGTAGAGACTGCTTCTTGATAAATCACAAATGAAGGATTCCATAACCCACAAATATTGCAGTTAAGCCGTTAGCTGAGACAACACAGTGCCATGAAAATAAACAACCACAAAAAAAGATATATTTTATGTGTTAAACATATATTCGTAATAACTAGGTGATAATTGGTAACCTAGCCAATAGTGAACACACATAATTTTGCTTTCCTCACAAGTTACTACTTTAATGCTACACAGTAGTATAAAACTAAATGTTAAAACTTACTGGAAGCCGACAGTGCTGCCAAAAGTTCCACATTGTACTGGAACTAATTTCTACTTCCATTGTAAAAGCATGATAGAATGTCATTGTCTCATATTCAATATGATTTCCTTCTTTCATTGTGAAACAATTCATAAACTATGAATGAAAAGGATTGGAAAATAAAATATGTGTGAAAAAATAAGTGAGTCCACGTGACAACTAATATAACTTGTCAAGCCCATAAAGTTCGATTCATTATCTGATAACAACAGATAAAAGAATTAATCTTCCCCGGAAAAATCGATCGGAATTACTTCAGTTGAGTCACTATCGTACCTGGAGAATATTAGGAGTAGACCATTATATCTCTTTTAAGTATAAAGCTAAGGATATTCTTAAGCAATATTCTATATTACCTTATTTAATTGATGACGCACACGAAGATACAGTACTATTAAATGGGCTACCATTTGCTTATAGACACATCAGAGCAATTACACAACTTTCAAAACACATTTCTCTAGTTCTTTAATGCATTATTCCTTCATTTGTATAGGTAACAGAATTTTTCAAATATTTGTGATAGGAGTTGGACCATTTCTGTAGGAATATACTGTGTGTGTGTTGATTTGATGAACAAAGCATCATCAGTGTATCTCGCTCACTTTCTTAGATTTACATTAGCATTTCGATTCTGATATCTCATCCCACTGACAATTGAAGGTCAGTCAGAATAACACTTGGCGTTTTGTTTAGTGTTCAACCGCACAACTGACTCCAACGTACAACAGGCAGGACTTACATCCTCTTCAAATCAGCTATATCGCCTTACTTGAATGGAACTAGAGCCTAAATTCAACAGGAACAAACGATTTTAAATATTGAGGAAATAATAACTGTTGTATGTGGTACTTTTTTGGTGATCTACTGAAATCAGTTTCAACCAACTGCTATGAATTTTTTTGAAGGAAATGAAATAAAAAGTTGCAGGATACCGGAGTGTACTTCAGATATATATTATCGATTATTATCATTCTACTTGAAGATTCTGCACATGAAGTACATACTTTGCATGAAAACACTCTGTATATAAACACATTTCTTTAGAATAAAACTGCTATTAATATTACTATTATTATATGCATACAAAAAGCATACATATGAAAAAGTAACAGATGCAAAACTGCAAATCGATAAACATAAACTGGAATTACATAAGTGAGAGTACGTAACAACATGAGTAAATGACGTGACAGTTTCAAAGTCAGAAGCAGCTTTAACCTCACTACCAGGCTTGTTGACAAGCAAGGTGTATCTATTAACTCGACAGTAGTCACATTTAGCTAGACATTTCAACCTGCATCATTTATTGTAGAAGTCGACGAATCTACTACCAAACTATTCAGTTTAAAGATAACTTACTGAATAAATAGACGATTAAGAATAAAATTCTCTAGAGGTGAATCATTACGAAATGTCCCGCCTTACAATAGAAACGAAGTGGAACAATATCGAAACCAAGAAGAAAGGATATCGTATTGAAGAGAACAAAGAGATAAATGTTGAGAAATGTCTCAACAGTGATTAAAAACAAGATTGTGAGCGAAAACAAAGTTTATCCCAACAACTACACACCACGTATCGCACATCCATTTTTAGTGCAGGTACAGCTAGTCAAGAAATTAACTAGACACAGTACTAACAGCTGGTTGGTTATGTACACAGTGTGAGGGAGTTTTTTTCTGTGTTAATATTAACATCAATGGAAGTTTAGTTGCTAGTTGCCTTTAAAGGCTCACTACTGTAACCAGAACTGTTCTTCGTGATCCATTATTTAGATCAAAACTTTGTGATTGGTATCATGCCTTTATCTAGTTATCCCTTAAAAAGGAAATAAATGGAAGTTTAATGTAAGAAAATACGATTCAAACAGTCTAGAAAATAGTGAAATTGAACTATGCAAGGATATACTAAAGTGTGATTTAAGACAACGAAAAAAGAAATTCTATCCCTACCGTGTCCGAGGGTGACATGGAGGAGGTTGTGTGAGAAGGAGATGAGAGCCGATGGGCTGTCGTGGAGCCAGCCAAAGAGGACTGCAAAGAACAGAACAAGGTGGAGATGTGTTGCTGAAGCCCTATGTACCACTCGGAACTCAAGGGAATACCAATAATACCTTCACTTTTAAAGGGTCTGAAGAATTCAGTCATATGAAGTTTAGGATACAATCATTATTCGAGTGTACCACATCAACAATTATTAAGACTATGAGGAAATTCCTATTCAGTCTACTTAGACAAGCATTCTACAATTGGCAAAGTTAAACTTTAAGCACCACTAACTACCAATCAGCGAACGACCTTCAACGGACCAATCATATGAAAGAGGGATTTTCGATTGTAGAAAACGTATATTTATGAAAAAAAAAAAAACTGCATAAAACTGTTACACAGGGTATCCTTCTCTAACATGTGACAGAAATATCTTCCAGTTTAGCATAGGAGTTTCAACAGAAAGTTACACCACATTCTGTACACATATTCATCCAAATGACTATAAATGAGATATTTTTGAGGTCCATCAATGGCACTAATCCTATTTTTTAATCTTCCCCAAAATCCTTCTATAGAATTCGTGTGTATTACTGTGATGGGATCCACAAAATCACTAGAATGGTTCACTCTGTGATAAATATATCCCAGGGATGACAGCGAGTTATAACCTTTCCATTCATCAGTATGTACTATGGATCCCTGTTTCACAAGTCTAGTAATAATAGGTATTAAAGTAGTTGACTTTCTGTCTGGTATTCTCTCCACGAATCCTTTTTGCAGGGAGGTGTCATATAAACCGATCACCCAAACATTGTTGGTTCGCTCACGACCACGGTTGTATTTTTTCTTCAATAAGACAGTTTCGTCCACGTGTACGACGACACCTTCACCGCCTAACAACGAAGTAATTTTCCATTTTCCATGATGCGATGTCTCTGCAGTGCTGGTACCACTGAACTGTTGACACAAGGCTATTTTCGGTTTCAGCAGCTGCGCCTCTCACAGGCTGTTTTAAAACCCAGTAGTTACAAATATACGAAATCTGGGTTACGGAGAGATGCGACCTAGCAAAAAATGTTCCTACGAAATATTAAAATTATCAGCTTACCTTCCCTAATACTAACTCGTCTCAAACAAATTGCACAACGATGGACATATCCATCAATCGACCTGCTAAAGCTTTTTAAACTCCACATGAACAAGTCCTCTCCTTCTTAAGCAACCCCGAATCCAGGCAATACTGCAAAACCTTATCCTCATCGAACTGCAAGCGTAACTTCGTTAGAGCAGGTATCTGACACGAATCAAGCGCAATACGACCTTGAACTCACGTGGATGAACCTCATTGGACTATTCGAGGTCATTCGCTGATTGGTAGTTAGTGGTGCTTAAAGTTTAACTTGGCCCTACAATTTACTACATACTAATTTGATATATTCACCGTAAATTCTCATGTAAAACTGAATAAGTCTACTATCCTAGCCATAACAATAATAAAAGAATGAGCTTTTTATAAACATACTTGCATATATCGTATTAGGCTTGTCCATGCATTCAGAAAATCAGAATCTTCAACAAGGATATCAACAATCGATTTGTGCGAAACCAAGTTACTCAAATCAGAGACAAATGGCCAAAATACATTATTTTGAATTAATATCCCATCACAGCTAAGCACCATATTACTTCTGTCATCTAAACGCTAATTGAAATAAGAAAGATAATGATAATTTGGGAAATGTCGTTGGAAAGATTACTAATAACATAAGATTTAATGAGTTCGAAATTGAATTAAGTTAATTGAGTTAAGCGACTGCAAAGTTTATATTCTTGAACAAATTCAAAACAGTTCTCAATAAGTAATGATACACTGGATTCTCATTAGTAATGTATGTAAGAAAATACTTGTGATGACTGTAGAACCACTTGAAATGTCTAAATTATCACGTAACAGTTGTGCTTATGCTCTCAGTTTACATCTGACCATTATTATAATATTATTATCGTTTCCTTTAATTCCTAGAGGAACATAGGGCTTCAGCCGTGCGTCTCAATCCCCTTCGGTTCTCTGCTAGAGTCTTCACCTGGCTCCAAGTCTGCCCACACGCTTTCATCTCCTCTTCACATGACCTCCTCCAAGTCACCCTTGCACTGACGACCAACTCGCCGCTTCCCTTTCGGGTTCCACTCGAGCAATGGCTTGTCTAGTGATGTCACTTGATGGTTTCCTCAGAGTATGGCCAATCCATCTCCATTTCTTCCTGCCTATCGGTTCCTGGTTGGTTCGCTCATTGCCAGAGATCCCTGTTGCTGATCTTTTCTGACCGGCCATCTGATCTTGAGTATTGAGCGAAGACAACTGTTAATGAAGGTTTGTAGTTTGTTTGAGATGCTCTTTATGACAAACTGGCCAAGTCTCTGATCCGTATAGTAGCACTGACTGACTTCACATTGGAGTTGAAAATCCGGATGTTATTTTTGATGGTGAGTGATGTTGACCTCCACACAGACTTGAGAGTAGTGAAAGCTTGTCTTGCTTTTCCGATTCTTGCTTTGATATCCTCGTCAGTTCCGCCTGTAGTTGAGACGATGCTTCTGACCATACCTAGCCTATTTTTTAGACTTGTATATGGGTATAATTAAGCTACAATGACTAGAATGCTTTTCGCCTGAGGTTGCAATATCGTTGAGATCAATTACGAAATAGTACATCCTACTTAAAAACAGACTAAGATAAACTATTTCACAAAATATTGTCAAATAAACTTAACAATACTTTTTTATCGAAATTAAACTAATATGAAATCACACACCAAAGGAAGCCTTCAGTTAAACAGTGGCTAAATACTATACAATACGATCTATTATCTCTCTTTTGAATCTTTCTTTACTCTCTTCTCTTGTTTTGTGTGCTACATGGAGGGAGTGTGGCAACTCCTGTGTTGCTGCACATCTGTGCAAAGTTCTACGTTGACAGTAGTCAGTCAGTCATGCAATACTACATATCACTTAGTAGTCTAGTGATATTACTTCATCATCCTATGTTAAATGAACTTTAATGAGCAATAGTGAACTGTGAAAATACCACCTACATTATCTGGTAAAGTATGCAAATAAATAAGGAATACTGAGCTGTTTCGTCCTAGTTTGGGAATCTTCATCAGTACGCGCCCACCGGGATTCGAACCCAGGACCTTCTGGTTACAAGGCGACTCGTAGACCATTGAGCCACTGGGACCCGATGATGAAATCCTCCATACAATTAAACAAAATCCCTACCAAACCAACTGGAAATAAGGAATAGTTTACAAAAAAAAGGTCTTTTTCTTTAAAACATTAAATATGACTGCATAACTTACAGTACGACAACATGCAAACATATTTAATAAACAATGAACAAGCAGATGATGTAGATTTCTCTGTTTGATCACACGTAGGGCTAATTCTTCACCGCTGAACAATTGCACTGATATATGCACAATACGATTATTCATTTGTAATGACCATTCAGGTGCAATTCGTGCACGTGCAGACAGTAACACAGTCGCGGCAATACGTGTATAATGACTAAGATAAGATTGTATAAATTCTTCCTGTAAATTAAACAAACAGTAAAGTAAATGAATATTATTGGATAGCAACGAAAATAGCAAATATGATAGGAATACTTTACACTGAAAGCGTATACATACTGTTGTAAAAAATGCACGACTTTTGCAACAACTATTTCGGTTTCGCCTTCTTTGTATCGCTGAAGCTCTAGCCATTCACATAGAAAAACCGGAGCTGTGCATACAAAAAAAGGATTACTCAACCACTTCTACTGTCTTGGTAACAACTTTTTTGATTTGATTTTTTTTATTTTGATGACTTAATTTTGTTTCTTTGCCTGTTCTTTAATTGCTTATGATTCTTGTATTCATTTAGAACTCTTACGTAATTTCGTATTATCTACTTTGTTCCTATGTGTATCCTGAGTAAAACTCACTCATCAAACTATTCATATTATTACATAACTTCTTTTAACAACTGTTTGTGACAACTCATCACCTTTGTTACTACCCTAATTTCACTAACACCTAATTTTCTTGACTGATTTTGTATTACGTAACTCCAATTACCAATCTTCACCTGTTTAGTTAAAATAACTATAACCAATTGTATTTTTGTTTGATAAACTTATTGTACACATACATACAAAATAACACATATATATTTGCGATTGTACAGCTAAGAAAATGAATTCGCCGCGAAAAGAGACTCTTCGTTGATCTACGTGTTTTGTTTTCATTAACAACTATTTCTGTCTTCTTTATGACTGAATGCCTTAAAATAAGCATTTATGGGTCTATATTAAATTTGGCCTAACACTTATAGGTCAGCTAATACCTAATTCCCGTGAAGGAACATATATGGATCTATGCTCTTTTTAAACGAAGACTTACTAAGCACTTTGTTTAGTAACATAAACTAATAACAGTATTTCTGTTATAGTATGGACTGTTCAGCATGAAGCGTTGCAAAAAATTTGCTCAAAATACAACCACATGAAACAATCGATGTTAATAACAATAGTAGCGTAGGCATAAACATATGAATGATAACAAAGATGAATTATCCATTTAGCTGAGGATAGGCATTTACTATGTTATGGTATAGCATTCGAAGCTCTGGTGAGTCGGTTGTGCAGGGGTAGAAAGCTTGCCAATCACCATTTGGTTCGGGGTTCGATCTCCGACCGACGCACTCCTACACCTATTAACCGGAAGTAAGTCCCGTAAAGAGGAAAGGTTGGGCAGCAGGCTAGTAACTCCACCCCGTAAAAATAACACAAAATGTTATAGAAACTTCAAAGCTCTAGCTTCAAGCCGAAACTTTGAAACAATAGACAATTTATCACACGGATACCTAAACTGTTACAGTTATCATCACCAAACACACGACTGATATTGAGGTTTAATTTAAACTATGTGAAAATAGCGCAGATTTTCCACACACACACACACAGCAATAACATTGTAAAACAAGACTTACTTTAAATGCTTCGACAGCTAGCAAACCAATCAAAAATGTTACCAAGCTTTCTGGGAAACGCAGTTTGATTGTTGAAAATATGAAAGCATCCAAAAGTGTTTGATGCACCAGATCCTGATTGCTTATTATAGCTAGATATTCGTATATTGGAGGAAGAGATTAAACAAATAAAACAAAGGGTTAGTTTCTATTGGCTTAAGGTATTTTTTTGTTTCGCCTAAACCATTGATCGAATACCTGTAGGCATTTCATGCTTATAAAGACAGTAACACATAAAGACTTTTTCTTATAATCATAAACAACAGAATAAGGTAGTTATGTGAACGGTAATCAATTCATGATCTTATATTAGTTCAGTCAGTTTGTAATGCTAAAAGGGTGGATGAAGATATATTAGGCTAGATTCTAGCTACTTATAATACACGTAAATCATAAGTCAATAAAATTAGATTCATAGAAAATGATAAGTGACAATGTTTAGTGGATCCAAAAGTATCAGTCGTGTCACTCGCCACGTATTGTATTTACACAAAAAAAAACAAGAAATATGAACAGAAATTATGCCATCCTTCCCGTATCTATTGAGTAAGAAAGCATTAATACAAAGGTGAATTAACCAACTTGACTCCATTTACATCCCGATTCTATTGAACTTAATTCTTAAAGACTTCATTCATTTTTAATTCAGTACAAACCAAACAATATTTAACTACTGAACAGTCAAAAGTGTATTTAGCCTTTTTGGCTGTACTTAAAGGTTGAATAAACTCATCGACCAAAAACCTTTCGAAGAACACAAGACTCATACACAAACGCACTATTCGAACGTATTCTCCTACCCTAATCTAATAATAGATAAAGAATTCAAGTATTGGTTTGTAGGGATTTGATTGATTGGTTACAGGATCTCATCATGAACTGACATCAGTTAGAGAACCATTGGAAAACCTGGGAATACTGGACAGCTGTTTCGTCCTGGTTTGGGACTCTTCAGCATTGGATCGGGTCTCAGTGGCTTAATGGTCTGCGAGCTCACCTTGTAACCAGAAGGTCCTGGGTTCGAACCCCGGTGGGTGCATACTGCTGAGGAGATAAAGAACTCTTTAAAAATAAAAAGTACAAAAGAGACATCCACATGGGAGTTAATTTCTGGCTCCACAATCATAACAGAATTCAAACTTTTCAGAACCCCTATCTTAAACTTTATAAATCAATCAGGACATGAAAATCGAAGTGCCTCTCAGTTTTCAAATTATTTGGTCAACATTAGTTTACACTAAAAAAGAGCATCCGAACTAAACAGTGCCCTTCGTAAATCACTTACTCTTAAAGGTAATAAAGGATACTTGGAGGATGAGGGGATTACAAAAGAATCTTAAAATGTCATAAGGTGATAAGCGAAGTAAAAAAAACGATCGGTCACAGCATAATTCAATCTGGTAGGCATAACTCAGATATGACTCCTTCATATCGTGTTATAAACGAAGTTTTTTTCATTTGAACCTATGACATACACGAATTAACTTCGAGACCTATTAGAAATGTAATGTTTCAAGCTGCTAAACTTGAACCAAGACGGATAAAAGTGAAACAACAAAAGAGTGAGTCAATGGTTTCCTCGATATTGACCAATGGTGAAATCTAATATGAATTGTGAAAAATACTCTTTAAGCAACGCCAGTTAATTGACTGATGAGAAAACGATAAATCATGACAGCAATGTAAAAACCATAAAAACTTCTTACGTGGAAATTCGAATTCAGGATTGCTCGAGACGCTTAACTGATAATCCTCACAAGCTCTTCGACTTTCACTTTCTGTTAAGAAAGAAATTATCAGGACAATTCTATTATTTCTAAATAAAATAACCAATTAAAACATACTCCACATATATATAATAATGCAAAATAAAAATCGATACGGAAGGATGGTCAAAAATGTTAGCTAACAAGTTGTAACGCAGACTATGCTTTGTTTCCTTCACACAGACAGAGTTCTTTTTACATATAAGTTGTAACCAATAGGATCTTCGTAACAATACTTTAGGATAAACTGGATTGTTTCAAACTAATCTGATGACTTTAAACTCATGCATTAAATAATGAGATAATATACGGAGATTTCATTATTTATAGCACTTAGTTATCAGATTTCTTATGTATCAGGCTACAAGTGGGACTTATTAAGTGGATTCCTGAGCGAAAGCTGTTACCTTGACGTAGTGGTCGGGCTTGCATGTCGCAAAGACCCAGCAGGCTATGCTGGCTGGAACTATTATTCCTCCAGGTCCTAGCATGCCAGGAAGATCGTTGGGATAGTGATTAGACCAAAAGCAGTTACCGGTATAGTGCAAGAATTTTTTTTACACTGCTGGGGAACAGGGATGTAACAGCAGTAAGGTGTTTCCCTCAGATGACCAGCATGCCAGCCAGTTATACTGCATCTCTACTCTGGAGAAAAGCAGTTAGAAAAGGTCGACTTACCCTACGGTGCTCCGCAACAAGCGGTAAGTTACTAATACGCAACCAATCCAAGAAACCACTTCATACAGGCCGCATGTGACCGGCCTCAAGCAGTTGTCCCGGGGCTCTGCGGTCACGTAACTCAAACCTCTTTCTGTTTCACGTAACCCAAGAATAAATCAACTTCCACGGGAAGTAACAGCCACCCGCACACTTCTAAAACCATACGAAGCCTTCCTCAGTATCATTCTCCTCTACCCACATCACCTTCATCATCTTGCTTTCGTACTACAGGTAGTACTATTCTTCAGGCCAGTGAGTCATCTTCACTTCATTCTGTGAACACAAACAACGATGAGAGCCATAGAAACACCCCCCGACAGCCTCTTAAAGCCACGTCACCAACTTCATATAGGAGCATTCAACGTCAGGACCCTCTGGTAAATCGGACAACAGGCACCAATAGTAAGAACTGTGGCATCTCGAGCCATGGATGTATGTTGTATTTCGGAGACACGCATACTAGACCCGACTATGGTCATTCACTTAACCTCACCCGGCCAACAAGGTGAGTCTGCAAAATTTACCTTAAGGGTGCCATGAGACCCCTCAGCTAATCCGCGAGAACTCGTAGGTGTAGGGAGAGCATTGAGTGTTAGGGCAGAAACTGTCTACTTTGTTGCAAAAACCAAAACGCACACATAGTTGTTTTCGCAGGCAACTTCAATGCCCAAGTAGAGGAGTTAGACCAGACTGAGAAGTATGTAGGTGGTGCATACGGAGTTCCCTGCCGACGAACCGACAACGGTGGTCGTCTTCTACAGTTCTGTTCAGATAATCATCTGTTCCTAGTCAGCACTAAATTTAGGCACAAAGACAGACATTGCTTAACCAAGTGACCTCCATCAGCGAATCAATGCTGGATTCAAATAGACCATATAGCGATAGGGTATCGTTGGCGAGGGTCAGTAGGAGACTGCCGCTCCTTCTGGAACACGTGCGTAGACTGCGATCACGCTCTGGTCCGCGCACGTTTATGCTTACGACTAAATGGACATAAGAAATTGCTGGCAGCGAGACAGTTATGTCCCCCAACTAGATCGAGATTCTGAGTCCGTATTTAAGGAGGAAATAGCGAAACGAGTGTCTGAGGTCGACAGCAAGACTCTTTTTGAGGAAGCCTGGCACAAAATACAGTTAGCTGTAGACACATCTGTAAAGGCTGTTAATAACCTGAAACCTCAAGTTAGTAAGAGCCATTGGATTTCTGCCACCTCATCCGAACTGACTGACGCAAGAAGACTGATTCCGGAGAGCTCCGATTATGATGAGGAGCGAAAGCTACTCAAACGCAAACTAACAAGAGGCCTTCGTAACGACCGTGAACAGTGGTGGGCGACAAAAGCGAAAGGGATAGAAAAGGTATCGGCAACTGGTGACACCAGACAACTATTTAAACTTATCAGGGAAACAGGTGTTAAAGGCAAATGATAAGTGAAACAATCTCTGAGGAAAACGGCACCATAATTAGCTCCCAAGATAGACGACTGGAACGCTGCAAAGAACACTTTGAGGAGTAATTTAATTGGCCTATAGCTACGCTCAACTTACCGAACATCCAACACGTCCCTGAATGGGATATAGACACAGGTCCTGCGTCCCTAACTGAGATTACTAAAGCTATCACCAGGCCGAAAAGAGGCAAAGCAGCAGGACCTGATGGAATGACTCCAGGGGTGTCTAAGGACGGCAGAGATATCTTACTGTCTGCGTTAACTAAGGTATTAGGCAGCGTGTGAGAATCAGAGGAAGTCCCGTCAGGTTGGTGCAAGTCATTGATTATGCCGATATACAAGAAGGGAGACAAGTCTTCCCGTGATAATCACAGGGGGATGAGCTTGACCAATATAATATCTAAAGTTCTAGGCTCAATGATTATGCGTAGACTAAGCGGTTCTCGGGAGGAACAAACGCGAGAGAACCAGGCAGCCTTTAGACCAGGAAGAGGGTGTATTGATTAAATCTTGACCCTTCTACAGATTCTGGAACATAGCCATATTTACCGGCGTCCAACAATCGTCATATTTCTTGACCTAAAGGCGGCATTCGATTCTGTCGACCGAGAGGTACTCTGTGAAAAAAATGTTGGGAAAATAAATTGCACTGATCAAGGCACTCACTCTACTCGAACTCATGCAGTCAGCCAGATGACAGTCTGCCGAGAGTTGTCACCTGAAGTGATGACAACCAGCGGTGTCCGTCAGCGATTCCCACTGTCCCCATTTCTGTTTAACCTCATCATAGATGCACTTATGGACTTAACCCGAACTGACTTCAGCGACTCAGGAATTGACTTGTCTCGTTGACTTAGAATAAGCAGGTGATATAGTCCTCCCTCCTAGGTGAAGACGCTGACAAAATGCAGCAGTCTTCTGATCACCTTGACAGGCAGCAATCTTCGAATGTTTGGCATGCGACTCTCTCCCTTTGTCAAATGTAAGATGATGCCACAGGACTGACTGAACTACATTGACTCCTAGCTCAAAGATAGGCAGGAGTGAATTGGTTAGTGGAGCGTGTTGACCACTTCGTTCATTTGGGAAGTTGCATCAGCCAGTGCCAACGGGTTGATCGCTGACGAAATCTCAGCACGGATACATAAGGCTCGTTTCGCATATGCCAGTTTTCTCCATATCTGGCGTAGACATGACATCCGGCTGGCTGTCGACCAAAGGGCGTATGTACTGCTCAGTAGTTCGCTCCGTCCTCCTTTGTCGCTGTGAGCGAGACATGGCCATTGAAAGTGGAAGACACGAAAAGGCTAGCTAGCTGTCTTTGATCATAAGTGCCTACATTCTATCTTCCGTGTGAAGTGGTATAATAGGGTGAGCAATATTGAGGTTAGGCGTCGGTCGAGTACTGGGTAGATGGGAGGGGGAATCAATCGACGAGGTTGTGAAGTTACATCGATTGAGTGAGATGGTCAGGGCATGTGTTACGTATGCATCCCTAGTCATCGATCGCCTTCCTCGACAATGGGCAATTTTTAGCTGACATAGGATGGATAAGGTTGGAAAATAGTTAACTAGTGGTGATCAAACGAACACATAGTTTCATCAGTCGATGAAATCCTCAACAGTTAGTTTAATCCGGCCAGCCATATAGGGAGGTTAAGAGTGGCTGGTTGGTTGTGGTAGTCGGGATGGTAAACACCAGTGGCTGGAGACAATTGGTGATATGGCTTAAAATCGTCCTCAATGGTTGGTGCAGATGTATCCACTCCTTGTGACTTATTATATCCAATAAAACTATCTTGTCTTTCCATATCACTATTCTTTTTGCCTGATATTCCTGTTTATTGTCTGTTTCGAATCGCTTTTTCCTTTTTCTGTTACTTTGTGTGCTAAGGGAAGTGTGGCAACTCGAACTGCTGCACATCCGTGCAAAATTCTACGTTGAAACCAGTCAGTCAGTATTATGTGGATTGAAGCGATATTTGAACCCAGGAAGAACAGGCTGAAAGTCAGTTGCTTAGGCTAGTGATAAACATCTTCACTTAGTGAGATGAGCAACCGCCAGCCAATGTCATCAGTGAGTAACTATCTTCTTACCTGATTTAGGGTACTTCAACGGTCTTATGCTGAATTTTATGTGGAAAGTCATCACATTAACATAGTGATACTTTGTGTCATGATTTTCCCAACAAATTTTACTTAGTGAATGAGTGAAGTTTTATACCTGTTTCATACTTATGCAGTTTATCTGAGGAAAGCTTCAATGAATGTAAATTTGCAGTATCAGTCATTCACATACCGATCCATGGGTTACACAGTCATAGATTTAAAACGTATCTGAACAGAAGTGACTTCAGTGGCTGGGGTATATTTTAACCAAATACATGGTTTGTGACGAGGTGAATCACCGGTTTTGCTCACACATCTCAGGATAGATAGTTCACACAGATTGAGCATTAAATCAGTGAAGTTCGGATTTCTCAGCTTTCTAAAACTATCACAATGCTTATTGTGTAAGCTGGTAGTTTTGCTTTAAGTAATAATAATAATAAGATAATGCACATGAAACAACATAAACTAAGAAACATACCAAATATTAATTTCTCGTAAACCATCTTATCAATCATGACGTCAGCTATCAACTTTTGGGTTACCCACCCACTAGCATGTAATGCATGAAGGATTGAGATAGCAGGTGTGTCATCTTCGCTGAAATTTAACCCTTCATTATCTCTGCCATATTCCCACAGCCAGTATAACAAGGCAGATAAGAAACTTGGAAGTAGGCATCTAAGGGGGGCAATCAAATCATCAGGTGGTATTGGGCGGTTGTGGACTTTGTCTGGTCCATGAAAACGGCAAAACCTAAATAAGTGGAAAAATATATATAAGTGTAAGTAAAAGTTTATATTCGAATTTGACTGCAGATTGATATCAGTTAGAGAACCATTGAAAACCAGCATGGAGTAGTGGACAGCTGTTTCATCCTAGTATGGGAATCATCGGCAGCAGGCACCCACTGGGGTTCGAACCCAGGAACTCACGGTTACAAGGCAAGCTCGTATAACATTCAGCCACTGTGACCCGATTCAATGGCCAGTGCATGAATTCTAACTTTTACAAATTCGTGATATTTAGCGCGACCACGACCCAATGTCATCGGCGGGGAATCCATCCCTACTCCCAACTAGGTGGACCTCACTGGTCACGACGGCTCACCAGAACTCCAGGAAATAGTCCTGTAGTATGTCACTAGCGAGTATGAGATTAATTTTCAAGGTTTGATTTGTAAGGATTTGAAAACAAATCAAAAAACAAATTAGGTCCTTACAAATCAACCCTTCAAAAGAAGTTTATATGTAGATAGCAACTTATGGCATCCCGTATGCTATCACACTGCTTCATTAAATCTACGTTATAAGACTTTACTCATATAACTTGATTAGTGTTTGTTACCGTCAGTCATTTAAGCGATGAAACACAGTTTGCATAGTAAATCATGGTAGTGGCTTCGAAAGAACAAAACTCCTACAGTAGAAGACTATTCTAAATATGGTGGGTAGTGTGGTTCAGCAGAAGAGTGGAGAACTTGAGACTGGATATAGTAGCGTTCTATTTATTCAGTAGTCTGAACAGTTGTTCCACATATTGTTTCTAACACGTGTAATTATATGTTACCTATATTCTCTTAAATAAAAAATAACAGCTGATAGCTTGAAACAGTCGGTGATATGGCTCAAACTTTTTCTCAGTGACGTAGATGCATTCATTCTTTGTTTTCTCCCAGGTCCATCAAATCCTCATATTTCTCCATGTAATCAGTCTTCTCCCTATACATTTCCGAACATAGTTATTCGAATTCTTTCTTTTGCTCTACCTTCGTGTGCTATATGAACTGTAGTAACTTGAACTGCTACCACGAAACTTAGTAAATGTCTTCAAGATGACGAAATAGTGCACTTCACTATTTTTGCATGTTACAAGTGGTAATAAATGTCTGTTCATTTATCTATAGAAATCAATTACCAAGTATTGAACTATGAGCCGCATTTATCGAGTGAGGCTTATGATACTACCCACCTTCTCAGGATGAAGTAAATGGATAGGAACTCGAGCCCAGGACACTGACCATAAATCGAGTGCCTTAGCGACATCACCATAATTTACGCATCACTTAAGAAAGCAGTCCAGTACGCAAATCACACGCATTTAAACCAACCAACCACACTGAGTATATTCTATGAATAAACTGATGAAGTTGAACATTCAATCTAAAACAAATCAAGCGTAGTAACACTTCGTAAAACGCAACTACCTGAAACCCGACAAAACAGTCGTTGTCAATTATTATTATTATTAGCTGGACAGTCAATCTTCACAAAGAACTCAGAATGAGAAATTAATTTACGTAGAGTTGTATCACACACACAACAGCATATAGAAAGTGTAAATGTTGATAATGACATCTAAATAAGTTATACCTCATAACATGATTTGCGCTGAATAGTGACTCCTAGACTTCACGTAATCAACGCCAAAAATTCCACTGAAACTTTAAGTTAAAAATGAACAAGTAAACACGCAAACATACCATGAAAATGCAAAACAAATAGCAAATACATAGAAAGAAACTGCATATATAGTGGTGGTTGTGAATACAGACATAATAACTTACCCTGACTCCTTCATTACACAAGCATCTCCGCAATCACATGCACCACCAGCATGACTTTTAAACTTGTTGAAGTCGTGTCCTTCGTGATTACCAGCAGTGAAGCAGGAACTACAGAGAGACATGCTGGGAGACATTCCACAAGTCCTGCACCGATATGCAAAGTAATTAGTTGTCCACACAAGGCTGCATCTGGCTGAATAATCATATTCTTTCACTGAAGAACGTTATTATTATAAGCAATCAGTCTTAATAGTTATAAAACTCACGTTTGCGTCGCAGGTTATCAAACCCAATCGCCCCAGATATAAGGTATTCAAATAATTTAGTCATACATAACATTTTGTTTTTAGTTCTAAATCGGCTAGTACAAAAGCAGTGAAATCGAAAAAGCTTCCGAACAGTGGAATAAACAGGAGAATCAAAGTGTCCATTAACACATGCATCATGAAATTCATTCCGGAACTCTTCCTCAGTCATATTCAGCTTACTACAGACATAAGCGATAAATTGTGGTGGGTCTTCGAACTCAATTGCGTCGATATTCATCATCTTTGTAAATATTTGAAAAACTCGCCTCCTATGTTGAGGCCGTTTTGTTTCACACTGTAGTGTAGCAAAACCTTAGAGTTGCTACCTACATCACAAGACATATGTTCTTAGATCTCCTTAGATCAAATAAACCAGTGCACATGGCCGCTTTAGTGTTTATCACTGTCTCCACTCACTGGCTAAATATTAGGCAGAACAAGCACGTATATACTTCGACTAGATTCAGATTAGATTTATTGTTTGAGGATAGAAGGCTTGGAGCCTATGTTAATCCTTTTCTAGTAAACTTCTGTGGTTGTCCAAACCCTTCTTGAACGAATCAACTGAGGTTGCAGACACCACTTCTTCTGGGAGTCGGTTCCAAGAGTTTATGACTCTGTGTGAGAACCAGTACTCAACAGCAATATGATTTCTTCTTGGCTTTTGAACTCTCCTGCTATGTCCTCTAAGGTGTTCCGACCTGGTGGGAAGGAAAAGAGAAAATAGGTCAGGTCCGTAGTCATTATTTAAAATTTTAAACATTGTGACTAAGCTCGGGCTTTTGGAAAAGCATTAAATTTTGCTAATCACCGAATCATTTGTGTTAAATACTCACACTGCATTTTTATACCAGCAATAATTAAAATGACTACTTCGACACAGACAGAGAGTAATGGGGACATGTCCCTCATTTAATATATTTCTATGATTTCTGGCTCTACACTTTAAAAAACCACTCATTTCAGCACTCACGGACACAATGTCCTCAACCTAATCAATTCTGCGTTATCGAAGTTAGTCTGAAATCAGATAACAGAAGGCCTGATTAGGCTTTACTGCACCTCCGCATTCTCCGGGACTGCAATTCAGATATATCAGGTAGATTAGTCACTTATCCTTTTGCTTAATAGTAAAATTTAATCCATTCAGGCATACTACTCACCAGAGTACGCTACCATTTAACTGAATCTTCTTGATTCCTGTTTTGTTATCAGCATTAACATTTTAAGTGGATAATGGTTTCATGTGTGGTTAGGAAGATCTCATTTATGGAGGCCTGATATACTGTAGCTCATCAGTAGAACCACAGGTACCTTGCAATTTTATGCTCGGATCCCATTGCATGTCATGTTTTTAAGCCAAATTTAAACCTCGCCTAGTTAACTAGCTCGCCAGTTTCCTAACCGGACCCAAGCCCGACTAAAAAGGGAGAGTTGGGGCGAGAAACCCTACACTACAAAACCAATCAAACGGCTGCAGAAGCTTCAGCGCATAGAGATTATATTAAAAATACAAAAAATTCAAACAACATTCTATTTTTCGCTTGAATAGATGTGAAATGACACAGTGGGCTGGTGAAAGCCTTAGGGAAGCCTGTTAGTCAGACGATTTGTCTTCTCTCGATGAAAGCAAGAATAAGAAAGGGGACGTGGAATGTCAGCACAATGTATGGTGCTGGAAAGACTGCCCAGGTAGCCAAAGATATGCGAAGATATGGCCTAGAAGTCCCAAGTATCTGCGAGAGCAGATGGAATTGAAGTGAAGTGGTTCCATAATAGTTTGTTTATAAGATGTATCGCACAGTGAAACAGTATTACTTACTGGATGACGTTTCGAACAAAATTTATTGTTCATAATCATATCACAGGAAGAGAACTCATCATGGGTCGAGAGGCTCTCGGTGAAATGCAGTATAACGGAGAACTCTTCGCAGACTTCTGTGTTTTCAGTATTTCGTGACTGGAGGTAGAGTATACAAACAAGAAGATATACACCTGGCAGCATTGGTTTCACCTGACAGATACACAAAAAAATAGAGATAGGCTTCATCTCAATCTCAAGGAAGTGGAGCAGCAATCTGCTGGACACAAAGTCGAGAAGGGGAGCTCGGAACATTGTCTAGTGTAAGGAACCTTCAGAGGTTAAAATGAAAGTTTTCAGAACAACATACCACAGTTCAAGTTCAATAATCGAAAACTGAGAGGTCAGTCTACAAATATCAGATGAAATTCCCTCATAGCACGGACACAGAGAAAATTTAGCAGATGTGCTTACACCATTATTGCGACAGATTTAGAGGGAAGGAAGGAGAGGTAGGAAGAAAGGCTGGTTACATTGTCAAGCTACCAAAGAAAGGCAACTTCGGCCTGTGCACGAACTGGCGTAGGATAATGCTCTTGTCCACACCAAATAAAATACTAAGTCACGTCATCCAAAAAAATGAAAGATGAACTAGATACATAACTCCACCATCCACAGGAACAAGCTGGATTCAGGGAAGGCAAATCATGTGCTGATCAAATTGCATTGTCACCACAGAACAAAGCATAGAATGGCAGTCACAGTTCTGTCTGCCTCAATTTCATTAACCTTGATAAGACTTTCGACAACGTTGACTGTGAAGTAATTTGGAAAATGCTTCAACACTATGATGTGCAGTGCCCAAGTTTTTATCAACCTCACTCAAAAGCTGGCTACATGGCAATGCCAAGTGTCAAGTTATCCACAACGGAAAACTCAGAGAGGAGTTTGAAGTGAACACAGGAGTAAGACATGGCTGCCCGCGTATTACCACCGATGACATTCCTCATTGTGGTGGGATGGATCATGCGTCAGACTGTATGTCAGAAGTGAGAAGACAGGAACACGTTGGACCACCGATAAGTAGATTCTAGAAAATCTTGATTTGGCAGATAATATATGTCTAATGTCACATAAACTCGAAGACTTACAGGTGAAAACCAACAAACTGGCTGAAGACGCAATAAAGTCAGGACTCCAAGTTAACATAGGGAAGACGGAAGTTATGAAGTAACCCAAGCACCAACAACAATGACCAGCGTCAGTCATCATCAAAGGGAGGAATTTGGTAGAGGTCACTCTTTTTCTTCTTCTATTTGGGAAGCACGGTTTCAACTACAGGCAGCCGGAACGGATGAGAATGTGAAGGCTGGAAATGGAAAGGCAAGATACGCCTTCATCATCCTGAAACCAAGTTGAAAATCTGCGCTCAGCCAGCATAAAGAACAAGATTCGGATATTCAACACAAATGTGAAGTCAGCCAGTTCTTCCATACGAGCCAGAAACTTGACGTGTCAAGAAAGGGATTTCCAAAAAATTACCGGATTTTAGCAACAGCTGCACTCACTGGCTCCATGCTGAAAATCAAATGACCAGCCAGAAAGAATTAGCAGTAAGAAACCCCGACAACAAACCGACCAAAGGCCGATTCTTCAACTAATATGTTGGAGACAATGAAGATGGGTCTGGCGTACGTTGAGTAGGCCACCGAATGACATCGCGCTAAACGCAGGCCATCAATTGAATGAAACCCCAATGAGAAGTGACGAGTGGGTTATAAGTGGGAGGGTGACATGTGAGAGAGCGTGTGTTGGCGAGGAGAAGGAGGAAATTAGAGATGATAAGGAATCGTCGATCCAGCTGAAGAGGACAGTATAAAATAGAAGAAAGTGGAGATGGTTTGCTGAAGCCCTATGTTCCATTCGGAACCAAAGGGAATACTAATAAGTCCAATCGTCTATTCCATTAAGCGTTATAATGATTATTTAATAAGCATATGGGTTATTTTTACTGCCCTTATATCGTTATTTTATATTACATAACTTATAGTCGCTTGAAATGAATCGCCTTTGCAGGTGCACCACCTTATGAACAAATCGGTCACCCTCATGGTACTCTTGCGATGAAGCTCACCTCTCTCAGCAGAGTATTCGCCCAGAATATACTTACACTAGCTTAGGTACTGTGAGTCTTTCTGGAAACACCATACTAGATTTTTCGTTCCTTATAAACGACCTCTCTTCCAGTCTTTACGGCTATCCAAAAATGGTCCTTATCAATAGACCAGCACTCACCAACCAAAAAATTGTGCAGGTGCTCTTCAGAGACGTTCACTTGGAGAATCGTAGGTCCTCCTAAATGCTTCAACGGGTGAAACAGGTAGTTTTTGATCGAAAGTCAGATCTAATCACAGTCTTAACTGATACTGACGGTTGCCTTACAAATTAAAATGTTTCGTTCCGTAAAAACTTCACCAGTAGTGCTCCTACTGAGATTGGATCAATTCCTGTTTAACGTTATCATGTTCCACTGATTCATAAGTTACTTCTAAATTGTCTACCAAGGTCTGCTATATGGCTAAAACATTTCATATATGAAGAGGAACAAGAAAGTTCTCATCTATAGTTTCATTATCATTCATCACGCTTATTTGGATGTTGTTAATTTAACACTCAGCGCGCAAGATGGAGCATCAGTGTATTGGCTTCACTCGCATCTGCAGTGCAATCACCCACTAGAACCCCCTACTTGACTCCAGCATGCCGAATAGTACAAAGAGATATTATTTTCATTTACTGCCACCAGTATCAAATTCTCCGACTACTTAAATTTTCCTAGTTACTGTGCAAACATTTTGAAGAATCCCCTTTAAATTCGCGTCGTTTCGTTCATTATAAGTGAACGGACGAAACGAATCATATATCTTTGGCACACCTTGTAAGATTATAAATCACTTTCCACCTATCACCAGTTTTTCCCTACGGGTTCGTCTTCTGCGTAGAGCTAGGGTGCTCAGAGTCCACCCGGCAAAGACAAACGGTAGCATACACAAGAAACTCGTGAAAAATTCCCTTATTTGGTCAGAGTTACACAAATTAAAAGACCAGTAATTTCCCCCTTCCACTGAGGCATTCAGAAGTTATTGTTGACCCAACTTTTTGGTGATTCTGACTACTTTATCTTTAACTATTTACCATTTAATCGATTTCAACACTCACACAATCTTTACATACCAAAATTGTTTTTCCGAAATTATGAAATGTGGGATGAACTTGTTAGATTTTTGTAGATATTTCTACTCTTTAATCGCTGAAATAATTCCCTGAGTTAACCACCAATTCTTCGACATGATCATTTTAAATAATTATAACCACTAAAATGTTGAGCTCCTGTCAAAGTAGTTGAAGAATGAACGATCAATTCATGGTTGTTTGCT